ATGAGGAATCACATCCTCGAATATTCAACCCACTACCTTTTATATACAAGCATATATACTTTCTCTATCTATATATCTCTAACACAAAAATACACTTTCTGTCTCTAAGAAACCCATCAAAGATTCATTTCCTGATTCTACATAGATCCCTTTATGCTTCTCCACTTCTCCAGCCCCTTTTCCCATCTCCGGATCTATCTATGCTGAGACAATTTTTCTCAATTTAATCTCTTAATTTATATAATCGAAGTTAATCAACCATGGACAACAATTATACAGAGAAAATGCAGAGGTTTCGTGATTATATTGAAGCCTTAGAAGAGGAACGTCGGAAGATTCAGGTCTTCCGAAGTGAGCTTCCTCTGTGTTTAGAGTTCGTCACTCAAGGTACACATTATCTTTCTAGATTAATTTCTCTCTATATATATATTCGTGATGAGTTTTAAATTTTCTTTTTTGGGTGTTAATTTCAGCGATTGATACATGGAAGAAACAGTTGTCTGGGACGACGCCGACGACGACTATGGAGTTGTGTATTGGGCAATCTGAATGCTCTGAGCAGACATCAACTGATGGCCTTGTTTTGGAAGAACTTTTTTCCGGTGAAGAAAAGTTCATTTTCTGATGATGAAGAACAATCTTAAAAACCCATAAACAATAGTATCAATCAGGACTCATACAACAAAAAAAAAAAAATGAGAAATTGACAACAAAATCGGACTGGCTTAGATCTGGAGCTATATTGGGCAAAATATTGATAGAAACTTGTGTCTTTATCCGTTGCGAAGTCTACGAGATTGAGTTCGAGCACGAACAAAAAGCTAAACAACCGGGAAATGAGGGAATCGTCGATACATAATTAGATATAGAGAGAGAAACATATATATATATATATATATATATATATATATATATATATATATAAAGAGAGAGAGAGAGAGAGAGAGAGAGAGAGAGAAAAGAGGAAGATAGGGGGGGGGGGGGGGAAGACCTGATGGCCCTGTTTTGGAATAACTTTTTCCGGTGAAGAAAAGTTCATCTTCTGATGATGAAGAACAATCTCTAAAACCCATAAACAATAATATCAATTAGGACTCAGACAAAAAAAAATAATAATAATAATAAAAAAGAAGAGAAATTGACAACAAAATCGGACTGGCTTAGATCTGGAGCTATATTGGGCGAAATATTGATAGAAACTTGTGTCCTTATCCGTTGTGAAGTCTATGAGATTGAGTTCGAGCACGAACAAAAAGCTAAACAACCGGGAAATGAGGGAATCGTCGATACAGAATTAGATATAGAGAGAGAAACACACACACACACACACACACATATCTATAAAAATATAGAGAAAGAAAAGAGGAAGATAGAGAGGGGGGAAGAGAACGCCGCTAGACCGACAGGCTGTTTGTTCTCTCGTTCGTCCTCGGCGAGGTGGGGAGAGGTGGTGGGCTGCTTTCTTTCTTGGTTTTCCTTTCTTTGAGAAGAGAAGAGAATTTCAGAATCTGTATATATACATCAGTATCAGTTTTGGGGGCAACCTAAATTTTGATTTGGGGGGAATTTGAAATTGAAAATCAAATACAGGGTAGAAGCTACAGAGTACATAAATGGTATAAGAAAAATTACAGTACCTACCCATTTTACCACCTTTGCCACATCAGCCGAAGGCCCACCACTGGACACTTTCCAGTGAGATGCGAATGGAGATGATTTTTTTTCCCCTGAATTACGGATCCAAATCTGCTCTAATGCACCTCTCACTGGAGCAGATCCAAGGGCTGAGGTGAAACGACCTCAGCCCATTTGCCACATCATCGTCCAGTCAGCACCCAGTCAGCATTTATACAAAAAAATTACTAATGTACTATTTTCATTTACCACATGTACGAATACCTTATACACTTATACTAATACACCATACACTTATATATTATACAAAATCAGAATACATAATTTACAATCTGCTCCTGTGAACCTTCTTCCATTGTTCTTCTTCCTTTCAACTCCTATAGTCTCATCTTCGTCTTTGTCTTCAGTTCGAAAATTCAAAATTTAATGACTAAGTTAAAAATTCCTTTATACTTTCTCTCTCTAGAACAAAAGTGCTCTCTCTCTCTCTCCCTCCCTCCCTCTAAATCTTTTTTTGGCCTCTAAAACAAATCGCCTGCAATTGCTATTCTTTTGCTTTCTGTTTTCTCCATTTTCAGATTCTCTCAAAAACCACAAAACGGCCCGAATTACCCATTTGGTGCTCTCTCTTATGCTCTTCGTCAAAGCAGCTCACTCTCTTTGAAGAGATTTGGGATGGGTTACTTCAAGTTCAAAACTTTTTTATATTCTCATTTGTCTTGGTTCGATCAAAATTGCTATTAAAATCAAACCCGGATTCTGAAAAAATCGGTCTTGTTTTTTATTCTCCGGTTAAATTTCAATCTGGTTTATGAAATTTTCTCACTTCGGGTTTTTGTTAAATTTGAATTTTAGTGTTGGTTATTTTGGTGATCCTTCTCAAATTCTGTATCCCCTTTATATAGAAATATCAGGGCCTCAGTTTAGAAAGAGAACGGGCGACGAGGTATGGCTGACGATTGGAACAGGGGAAAATCAAAGAAGTCTATTAAAGAATCTGAGACCATGAATCAAATGGAATTGGAAAAACAGCAAGGCATGGGTGTTCATATTGGCCGACAATCGAAGCCGGTTTTTTTATGAAGCTTCCATGTCAAATAGGCCTCTCAAGAAGATCAGAAGTCCAGAACGCCAACACCCATTTCTTTCCTCTGCTGACCAAACACCCTCTTTTCCCTCTTCTTTTCCCTATGCTGCTGCTACTACTACATCAACACCTTTTCCTATTCCGTATCTTCATCTTTATGTGTCTAAACAGAGAGTTTTTGGTTTACAGAGCAGAGGCATATATCTGTGTTTTTGATTTATAGAGCAGAGCAGAGGCATATACTTGTACATATATATCAGATCAGTTTTGGGGGCAACCTTAATTTTGGTTTTGGGGCGAATTTTAACTTGAAAATGAAATACAGAAAGGGAAAGACTACATAATGGGCGTACAGAAAGGGTAGAAGTATGTACAGAAATTGTATAAGCAAAATTACAGTGACTACTCAATTTACCTCCTTTGCCACATCAGCCAAGGGCCCAGACCAGTTCCAGTGAGATGCGAATGGAAACGATTTTTATTCCTTAATTAAGAATCCAACCTCTAGTTGTACATAAAGTTAAGAGACCTCATAACTCTTATCACGAGACTCTTCTTATGTCACACTCAAAATTTAAAACTCCCACGTGCGGCATAATCTTCCTGGTCATTCTAATTTTTGTGACTACTATTTATAAAAGATGGAAAGATATATTAACATACTGAAGAAGTATCTTATACAATGTATATATTACGAAAATGGTATTATTTGATTGGTTTTCTTACCAAGCTCGATCGGTTGCACAAAGAGAACAATAGAACTTAAATTCTGCTTAATTAGTTCATGTATGGTGCATTAGATATGTAGTGCGAGATGCCAAATTTTTAAGCATGACACTCTTCTCAATTTGTAAGGGGGCCAAGAAACTCATATTTTTATATATATATATATATATATATATATATATATATATATATTCACTTTATCTTTATTAAAATTTGAATTCTCACTTTATTATTATTTTTTTTAACCTTGACAGCAAACTCACGCACTTGTATGAGAATTTAACTGTTAGACAATGTTATTTTATAATTATTCTTAAATAAGATATTTAACGTTGTACGTGAATCCATACCAATATGTACATGTTTGCACTAATAATATATAAAGTCATAAGAGTTTAAAAAGATATTACAAAAGAAACTTCAAAATAAGTTTTGATTGAATTGAAACATATATGATATAATAAAAGAATTTATTTTAACGAGGGTATGCTTCAAACGTTGAACTCTTTTCCAGGCAATTTCTTTTGCCACCTCCGGCAACCTCCGGTGCTTTTCTCGCCAGAATTTCAATGAGATTTCCAATATATATATATTTGACCGCGACACTATTTACGTGTACTTTTCATATTATTATTTTTGACTTATTTTAATTTAATTGATTCGAAATTAAGGCTTCAATTGAGTACACATGGTGTTGTATCCTGAAAGGTTATGCGCACATGGTTCGACCCTAAGTGCGGAGCGGTGCCAGCCGTTATCTGAAAGACTTGACTCCGTCAACGTCAACTCCCTCTCAAATTCCACTATCATCATCTCATTTTCATCATTATCTGTCACTACCAATTTACATAAAGTCAACTCAAACTAAGTCAAACAATTGCACTCTCTCTCACTGCTTCTAACCAATTACAGCTGTTTTACGAGGTTCACACAATCTTTTTATTTTATGTCCAACTTGTGAATTACGTAGTAAAATTATTCCACTTTTCATTTTTTAATGTTTAGCATCATGATCCTCCACTCCGTCTCCAATTTTCTTTCACGGAGTATGTCGTACGGCTGGTTGACTTGATCATTCATATGTTTAAACGGCAATATTATTTAGCTTTTTTTATTTTTATTTTTATTTTATTTTTAAGATGATGTAAGTAGGTGAAAGGGCTTTTATTCTTTTGAACCCTTCACCATTAATGAGTTTGAGAAATCTATTTTAAGAAGAAAAATGATATTTAAACAGATATTTTTGATCAATATCAAAATAACAAATTTTTTTTTAAGAGAATATTTTGGGTATAAATTGAAATTATATTGCTTTTAAAATTTCTCAATTATAGTATCAAAACACATAATATCACCAATTTAGTGATCTAAGTTTTATTAGTCGTCCAAACATGACCCAAATTTAAAGATCAATATCAGGAAAAAAAATATATATATAATGACACATTTTGTGAGGGATTCACAGTTAGTACTTTTAGGGTATGCATTATGTTATGTGAATGCAAAAACCATCCGCTGAAGTAATCGACCCCTATAGCATAAATTGTTTTTTTTAATGGGAATGCGGTACCGTGAATTCAAAGAAAGTGTGAGAGTATGTCTCTCATTCCGTTGATTAAGGGCATTTATAAGTCCTCGTCTACTTAGCCCATAAGCTCCATACCACCTCTCTCTCTCTCTCTCTCTCTCTCTATCTCCATCTCCATAAGCAAAGAGAGATAGCAGAGCTAAAATGGGACGTACCCAAGAAGATCCCACTCCTGTTTACTACAATGACCAAACTCAGCCTGATCAAGAATATCCACAACCACCACCACCTTATGAACCAGAAACTCCACCACCACCACCACCACAGCCTTATGAGCCTTACTACAGCCAAGAAAAACAGGACAATTCATCAAATCCATCGGAAAATGAGCCCCAGAAACAATTCCAGCCACCACCACAACCACAACCTAACCCTACATATGTACCGGCCCAGGCTGTGCCGTTCCCGCCACAAGGTCCACCACCAAATGCAACACAAAGTCCACCAGTATGGACACCGCCAAGAACCTATCCTCCACAGGCCAATCCACAGGCTTATCCTCCTCAACCTCAACTTCAGCCAGTAGCATTCCCTCCTCCACAAAGTAGTGCAGGTTATCAACAGTCTCAGCCGCCGCCACAGATGTGTGGACATCCCGGGTTTCCGACAATGCAGCCTTCTCCTATTAAACAGACTCTTCAAATGAATGGAACTAGCATGGGTACTCCAGTACAGTACCAACAACCCACAGTTGGACAATCTCCAATTCCCTACGCAACACCGGCTCCTGGTGACATGGGTTGGAGTACAGGCTTATTTGATTGCATGGATGACCCCAATAATGGTAATTATTTCATAGCTCTCTCTCTCACACACTCACACACAATATGAGTATTAGACAATTAATATTTAATAGGTGTGTGACGCAAGCTTCTGAATCATGTTTCAGCTATTGCAACGGCATTCTTTCCATGCGTGACATTTGGGCAGATAGCAGAAATCGTGGACAATGGGCACACATGTAAGTAAAATATATCATGGATGAAGATCGAAGATTGAAGTTATAATTAATCAATATATGTATATATATTAATTTGTTGGCATATCAATTTTACAGCATGTGGAACGAGCGGATTGCTGTATGGTTTAATTGCAGCCTTCATTGGGTTGCCATGCATAATGTCATGCACTTATCGGACAAAGCTAAGAAGTCGTTATGGACTTGTTGAATCTCCGGGACCGGACTGGGTTACTCACTTCTTCTGCGAGTGGTGTGCTCTTTGTCAAGAGTACAGAGAGCTCCAGCGCAGGGGATTGAATCCTTCTATAGGTAATTAAATGTTTTTTTATACAATATATATATATATATATATGATTGATTTTGTTTTAACATTTATATATATATTGCCTATGTATTGGTTTGTTTTGGTGATAATATATACATACAAACACTAAAACACTATATATATATATATATATATATATTAATTTGCAGGATGGCAGGGAAACTTGGCCGGGCATCAGAAGCAAGAAGTTGGCATGGTGCCTCCAACGAACCAAACAATGATGATGGGTTGAGCAAACGTCTCAACAGTCGTGTCGTGCCGTGTCCCTTTAAATGTTGTTGTTATTGCTCGTTTGTATTAATTTGCTTTCCCAAGTTCAAGCTATGATGTCTTATTTTTATTTGTCAGAAAAAATAAAGATTCACTTAATTTGTATACAAAAATATGACAAGAATGGAACTCGGAAAATAATATATATGGTACTGGTTTTTGTTTCATATTTATTTTACCATGCTTTTAATAAACGATAGATTACATTATCACATGATAAGATTGAACTATTATATTACTATAAGTGAGTCCCACTTCGTGGTTCAATCTACACCTTTGATGGAGCATAGACACTCCGAGGCGGGGTAGGAAAAATATGAAGCATAGATGGTGAGCCTCAATTACAAAATAATTTGTTAACCTACTCTACTTGGGTTGACCTTTCAGACAACTTTTGGGTAGAATCAACCCCTTGCCAACTGATTGAACAGTAAAACGAAGTGCTTATTAGAAGAACAAATAATGTGGTCCAATTACAAATAAGGGAAAACAAAAATTATTTCCCTTATTTATTATTTTCCCTATTTTGTAATTACATATTAGGTGTCAGTTTATAAGTAGGCAACTATTATCCTACATACATTAGCTACGACTTTCATAATCATTTCCATTTAAACGAGATGAACGTGTTTTAAGTTACGTCCTCCATAAATCAAAATTAAAAATATCAACACTTCTTTTACCAAATAATAGTCCAAAGAAATCCCTCGTTTTTATTTTTTTATATGCCTCTGTACTTACCAACCAAATTATTGTACCTACTAAAGTGCATATATAGTAAACTGAAAAAAGGAAAAAGAAAAGAAGAGAAAAAGGGAAAAGGAAAATAAAAAAGGCATCTTTAAACTGGATCGATTCAGAATAACAATATTTCTAGCTCTTATTAATTTAAAATAGTAATAATTATTTATTTGTCCTGTTTTCTTAGCAACCAAAGAACCCTACAAGGAGAATAAAAACTGTATTAACAATTAGGGTGTCGCCTGATTATTATTATTATTATTATTTTTTAACATAGAATCGACAAGATTACAATAATTGGCACAGGATTAGTAAAACAAAGAAAACCAAGCAAACGGCATTACACAACATATACGCTTCCATAGCAGTGAAAAAAGTAATAGCTTGAGATTCGATACAAAATTAGAGTATGAGATGTACATAAAGTACAAAAGAAACTTAAATGTTGATAGTGGCATCCCACAATCTAAGCAGCCCATTACGACCACCACTGCAAATCCTTTTCCTTTCAAGGTCTGATGCCACACATCTTACCTGAAACCATAGAAATAAAAGACCATTGTCAACACAGATAAAGAATTCACCACAAAAAAAAAAAAAAAAAAAAAAAAAAAAGGCCCATTGATTTATGGAAGCCAAGAAATACTATTTATTTAGCAGCCGGGTATCCAATATTTACAGAGAAGAAGGTTTCCAGGGACGTGCTCCTTTTCTCTAGTGTGCAAAATCATCTTTTATTTATGCAACACAATCTTAATAACAAAATAAACAAACAAATAAATAAGAACAATTTCATAAATTTGAGTAGTATGTTTCAGACAGCAGAGGTCATGCATTATTTACCCGCACCTGCTGCTACCATAACCACACACATACACACGCACACATACGCGCATTCACACTACGAGAGAGGTAAAATTAAACTTATATGGGTAAATTTCCATACAGGATGAGAATAGAAATAATAAGGCAAAATACAGATTAGAGAAGGTACAACAATTTTGGAACATGTGACTTTGTGAATATTCTAAGAAATATCTATAGCAGAAAGAAAAGAATAAATACCACTGCAACTGTTCTCTGTGGTGTTCGATAGAGTTGCCATCCTGCTAACTTCGATCCAGTGCTAGAGAAACTACCAAGTCTCTCTTGAGGCCGATGGAAGAGGGACATTGAATTATCAGCTGCTCCGATCCCCAACCAATGTTCGCCAGCATTTATAGACAATATAGAAGCATTATGAATAGTAACATTCTTGACACATCTTATACTTCCTGCATACATGAGAAATAAAATATTTTTAGTTCCATGTGTATTCCATGAATCCAGTACGATTAAAAGCAGAATATATTGTTGCAGGTGATGGACAAAGTTGGAAGCATGTATAATTTACCATTCTCCAATGAGAGACGACTTTACAGTCCCAACTCCCAATATAACGAATTGAATCCATAAGAAGTCACATATTTGTTTTGAGTAGGTCATACAATGCCAATGATTGATGACTTAAATTGGAAGGCCATATTCATGCATAAACAGCATGCACTGTTCACCTTCGAATGATGTTGCAGTACGATGCACGTATAATTTACCATTCTCCAATGAGAGACGACTTTACAGTCCCAACTCCCAATATAACGAATTGAATCCATAAGCAGTCACATATTTGTTTTGAGTAGGTCATACAATGCCAATGATTGATGAGTTAAATTGGAAGGCCATATTCATGCATAAACAGCATGCACTGTTCACCTTCGGATGATGTTGCATCCCTAAAGCTGCTACAGAAGGGATCTACTTTCTGGCAGAGAACGGAATACTTGGAAACCACTAACCTCTACAGTCTAGTCCTAGTTTAATGAAATAGTCTGGGCTAAATGCTCATTCTAGATGTGGCAAAATAGACTAAAAAGCTGGAAAACCATGCAACACAGACACAGCAATGGGACATAAGAATTGGATATACTGACATGACAAATAAGAAAAAAGTAAGACTGTAAGACAAACAGCGAAGATAGGAGATGGTATGAATATATAAATATGTTGTGTGGCGGACCGGAGAGCATGGCTGCCTGAGATGGTGACAGTGCAGTGGCGAGAAGGCATGAAGGTCAAAGATAGATTTGGGGTTATATGGCAAGTGGTTTTTTATATTTTTCTAAAAAACCATTAGTCATAAGATACGACTTTACCATGATTTTAAGCACCAGTTCATAGTAAATTATCAAACAAACTAAGAATTCACAGATTAATGGTGAGTCAGTGTCTTGAATACATTCTTATGCACAGTATCAAGCAGAAAAGACATATGTGATGGTTGATGTGTCCAAAAAGCCATCAGAAACATCATGTATGTTATGTATCCTCTCAACAAGTATCCAACTTAACAATTGCTACAGCATAGGAGTTTTCAACTGAATTGACAGATTTTAGTTGTGCTCTTACCATCCTCATTTTCCCAAAATCGGAGCAGTCCATCGGTTGAACCTGAAAAGATGGCAATCATGTTTGAGAAAAAAAAAAAATTTACTTCGCCATTTGTGACGGAACTATGAAAAAAAAACTTTTTTTTCTAAAATGCACGAGTAAATCATCAATGCAACTTCAAGAAAAATAAAAAAGAAAAGACAGAAATAAGGTGCCAACCTGTTATTATTCCTTTGTCTGATATCGAGTATTCCACAGACAGAATAGGACCAGCATGGCAAGCTAGAACAGCATCACATGTTCCTCGAGAAATAGACCACACTCGTGCTGTCCAATCATCACTACCAGAAATTAAAGTGTCCCCAACCATTCTAATTGACCTGCACATTGATATATAAATCTTATCAGTATGAGAGATAAGAAGGAACTAGAAACAATTTCTGTGCTGTATTAGCTCACCGGATCCATTTCGTATGCCCTAAAAGCTTGTGCATCTGCTTGCCTGCACGGATGTCCCAAATGTTTGCAACCCTTCAAATTTTAGCATTTACAATGTAAGGATTTTTTAATTAAGATGTTACAGACATATATCGAAACTTTGTAACTTACAGCGGCCACTATATGATTAAAATTTCAATTCATAAGTTCATCACTATAACTGCAGTTAAAAAATAATAATAATTACTTACGCATCTCTGCCAGCTGCAGCCAAAATTCCAGTTGAGTCATCATATTCCATGCAAAGAACAGAACTTGAGCAACGGCCAACAGTTGCAACACATGTATCAGTTCTTACATCCCACATCTTTACAGTTCCATCATGCGCAGAAGTGAGAACACGTTCACCAGACAGCATCCGCACACAGCTAACCTACAAGATGAATGGAGGGAATAAATCACCATTACAGTCATCCATCGAAACAGTATTTACCAATCACTAAATGCTTGCCCTGCTTAGGCAATTCAAAGCATGAGACGTACCAAAAGAGTCATATTTAAGAGAGGAATATCTAATGAATCTAACAGGTATATCTTAAATGATTGCACATGTCTAGTAGATTATATGCAATAGTTATGGTGTACAGGTATATCTAATGTATCCAACAACAACCGAGAGCAGTCCTTAGGACAGATCTAGAATGAGAATATTAAGGTGTTTAAATGCAAAATATGCTTTGGGAACATCAAAGCCATATAGCTTTTCATTAAAGTCAACCACAAGAGTGCCAACACATTCTCTGCTATGAACATTCCCCATATATTTATGGCATTATCTTGAAGAAATGTGAGGGCCACTTGTCAGTTCCAAATATAAAATAGGAGAACAAAATGTGGATTAACTTGAAGTTGTAAGTCAAACTTCAAGAGGTGAAATTGGTCAACATAATGGCAGAGATATCGAGCTTTTAAGCCACAAATGCAACCAGCATATGCTCTTGGTTTACATTTGTTGGTTGGAACCATATTTGAGGCTGCCACGTTGGTTTTGGTGCACATTTCTGAAGGAAATATGGGAAATATTTGTACTTAAGGATGACCTCAAACAATGCTTGTCTGCTGATGTTTGTAGGTTAGGCTTCTTTAATTTTAACATGCAAGGAATTTTGTCCTTTTGTTTTTCAGTAACCTTTTCAGTGGACATTCTGGTTTAGAATATTGTATGCATTCTAAGCAAACTTCGGATTTGATAAAAACCTGGGCGTCATGGCCCTTCAGCTCTTCTAGAAGTTGAGTTGTTTGCTTATCCCATACTATCACAGATTGATCGTCAGATCCTGATACCACCTTCCCTCGATCAGAACTTATTGCTCTGACAGTTCTGCATTGGAAGAAATGGCAGGAACGAGGGAAGTTAGAACATATGTGAATTGAAAAGAAAAAAAAAAAAAAAAAGCACAAAAAGGAACAAATATTGAGAAGAGAATGAAGTAGAATAATTTTGATAAATTATGAATACAAAGAAAAGGAAAATAAAAAATAAATTGGCATAGGAATACCCTGTATGTCCTTTCAAAGTTGCCCTAAGTTCAGAACCACGAAGACTAGGATCCCAGATCTTAACCTGTATGATTATGACAAAAAGTAAAAACATTTTACTTTACAACCTGTGCCACAGAACACAATAACACTCATTCTAAGAAGTTCATGTACAGAGGATTAGAAATCCCAATCACAACCTAACTGAATGAAATTCAGTGCTTTTTGTTATATGCTTCAAATAGTCCAAGCAGGTTTTCTTTTTGATTAAGGCTATATGATACTTCATATAAACTTAGGCATGATTGTCATGACAGCACAGACAACTGTGCCTCCCGGAACCATAATGGGAATTTAAAATACAATGATTCAATGAACAATCAACTATGCTAGCCTACCGAGCAGTCAGTGCTTCCACTGATAAAGAAACCTGCATCTTCACGGTCACCCACCAGATCCCACACCTCTCTTCTTGTTACACAATGTAAAGCACTCACAGCACCACTATGACCCCTAAGAATGCGAACACTGGTTTGTATTTTCTTTTGCCCAGCAGTAGGTAGGTCATGCTTGCGTGGAGTCCCATTCTCATTTGCAGCTGTACTCAAGAAAATGAATTGTGTAATGAAATAGTTACATGAATATAGAATATATGAATGCAAGGGAATTCAGTGCCTAAAAAATATAGCTAAAGTACCACTGTCAGAAGTCCATTTACGAACACGACTAAAAGAGTTTGCTCTTAATGACGTATCCCTAGTAAACATGCTCTGGACCCAGCTCCTACCCACACCAGAAGCCTCAGCAGGTTGCTGACTGTCATCACTGGCATCTTGTGAATGTGGGGAGGGCAGTCCATAGGATGACAATGACTGGGCCTTTAAGGCATAGGTGCCCCAGTAATCAATACACCGTTGCTGGTTATGTGACAGGCCTCCCCTGATTTTTATCTGAAACAAATTAGAGGAAAAACAGATTAGCAGGAACTTTCATGAGTAAACAAAAATCTTATTATTTTACAATGTAATCTAATCAAGAGAATAAGGCAAAAGAAAAAAGAATTTCAAAAAAGAAACATATAACAAAAAAGTTACAGAGGACATTGAGCCCAAATAATAATTTATAGAACCTATTTAACGACTCCATAATCTTAGGGAATATGCAAACAACTAGCACTTAATAGCATACATTCTATCTATCCAACAAAAGGGAGAATGTCCTTAAGAAGACAATGAACTATTTGTCACAGAAATTGTCCGCTATATATTTTCTCCCAGTTCTTACAGATAAAGCATTTTTCTGAATTGTCACTAAAAAATTAACCTCTACTCAAGTTTGATCAAATAGCTTGATTTTTTCAAATCAATTTACACGCCGAACCACTTCCAAATATGCCTCTTCAAGTCATCCATCCCTCATCATAATCATGCATTCTTATGGCACAATGCATAGATACTTTGAGTCATTAAATAGATGTTTTGAGTACATGAAATTGTCTCCAGATCAAGTGAATATATTTGAACAGCTTTTTCTAGAAAAACAGTGAGCTTCAATTGATACCAAAATCACACCAGAGAGCTTTGATCAAGAGGTCAATCAATCAAATCTTCCGGGAAAATCAATTGATTTAGTGAAATTTACTTCAAATGACCAGGAAGGAAAGAATTTTAATTGGTTTTATTTTTCTATTTCACATAAGACTCTTGTACTGGCTATAGATATGGGATTATATTTAGTCTAGGGAATGCTCTTGCACTATATAGTTTTACATACAATATGAGAGATTTTTATAGAAAGAATCTAGGCACATATGGTGAGTTACTTTTTAGAGTGATCATCAACTTGTGGAGCTTAATACATCAACACCAAATAACACAACAAACAAACAGTCAGACATGATTAGTCATGGAGATCAAAGCACGAAAGGAAGAGCGATTCAAATAAGGAGCGGATTTGTTGACTGGCAGCAGAGCTCAAGCGGAGCGTCTAAGGTTAACTAGGGAATTCTTGGGTAGATACCTCCACAAAATCTAAACAACCCCAACTCCCTGGCTTCCCTTAATCTCAGCCTTGACAGCTAAACAGTATCTGCCAGTCTATAGAAAACAAGGGGCAACTTCTTCATTACAATTTCTGAAATACCATCAATATCCAGTTCCCTAAGTTGCTAAGAAAGCATCCATCATAAATCAGGATTCAAACTTAACTCTTCCCATGGGAGAGAGACCAAATGAAGAGATGGTGCAACTAGTCAATTGAGAGAACAATCAGCATAGTAATAGCTGTTCATGCCTTCTTCTAATAGATGATAATCACAAGGTTAACTGAAAATTAGTAGTTCAGGGGGTGGCTGAAATTCAACCCCCATCCTCCCAATAAGGAAAAAGCAAATCCTCCGCTTAGGTTATGTATTCATAACTATGAGTATTAATCACAGGAACAAGATATCACCAATTGATGGAAAAACACAAATACTAGAACTTCACCACAAATATATATGTATAACTTAAATAACTTCATACCCAGGAAATTAAAAATTATATAACTTCTCACATAAAAACATGCCAGCCACTGCAAGCATACAAACATGTGGGAAAAAAAAAATATATAAATATAAATTAACTTACAATTTGCTTGTATCCAATATTGTTCTTCTCCGCAATTGTTTCAATCATATACCAAGCATTATTGTCAGGAAGTCCTAACCCAGCCTTGACAACATAAACAAGATGTTCAGAACTTTACAGTAGAGGACAACAAAAATTATGTGTGTGTGTTCGGGGGTAGGGGAAAGGAAGAAGAGGAAAATGGAGACTACCATGTGTATTGCAACTATGATTAGCTGTGCTGATACTAATGTCGCATAATTGGCTGACCTGAAATAACAACAATCATATGCAAACATGAGAGTAATGGTATGCTTTTCTCAAAGAGACTTGTTACTTTCTTGACATAACAGTGACATCATTTTAAGTACTATATTGATTGAAATTTTAGAACGGTTCTTTAGCAAGAAGTCTGGATGATTGCCTACATGGAAACACAAATTCAGCTTTGTGCTTCACATGAAAAGGTAGGGAATTTGCATGAGAAGAAAAAACTCTGAAAGAGTCCAAAAATTCGATAAGAGGAGGCAACTGATCTGTGTTTTGGTGGTGTGAAAGTCAGCTGCAAGCAACTGCAGGAAAATCTTTAAAACTGAGCTTTTGCTCTTGGCAATAAAGTCTAGTGAGTTTTATAGCTCTGTTTAACAATTGATTGAACTTGCTATATAACAACAACAACCAAAAGAGAGAGAGAGAGAGAGAGAGAGAGAGGAGAAGAAAAGGAAAAAAGAAAAGAAAAGAAAAAGATATTTCTATTCTACAACGAATAAAGCAATTTCTACAATTCTCATCGGGGAACCTCAGTACTTGTACGGTTTCGGGGAAAAGTCTTTTAAATGTCTGGTAGGATTACTCCTGAATTCAATTGCATCATTTTAAATGGCATAAAACCATCCAATGAGAAGCACATAGCTTACATATATATATATATATATATATATATATATATATATATATATATCCTCATTAATAGGACACACTTTCCACTTTTTATCAAGTTTTTCAGTTTCCAACAAATCTTTTTTTATCGATAAAAAAATAATAAAATAAAATAAAAAATTGAACAAGTCTGCATAGGCACATTTGGACTTTAGTACTGCAAAGCCAAGTAAGGTCCCTTGCAAGTCCCAACTGAGGCTCCAAACCAGGATCAAACTGATCAGCCTAATCATTGACAACTAAATTTGATGGAAACATTCGCTCGCTGGAGAAATCAAGAAAATCAGTGCAGGAGGAAACAACAAATTTACTACACCAGGTTCACTTTAAATTGATACCTTGTACTCCAACCAAAGAAGCAACTCCAATACAAAATTTGTCATTTGATTCTAGTTGAATAAAAAAATACTAATCAATTTTGTGACATTTTCATCTGGAAAAAGTAACATATTCATACTAACCTAATTTTTATTTTTATTTTTATTTTTATTTTATTTTTTATTATTTTTTATTTTTTCCCTAGTTGGTATTCACACACACATCTCTTCTGAGACTCGAACCCCGGACCTCCCTTTGGGAAGTAAGAGGCTGATACCGCTAGGCCACTGGCCCGTTGGTCATACTATCCTAATTTGGTTGACCTTCACTCTTATTATATAATTGCTGAATTTTGTTGAAACTTAATACAGATACAGATAACAAAATTTGAAGCAAAATTTCCATCTGAATCCCATGCACCAATGAATAGGAGTTTTCATTGGGTCACTTAACCTTCCTAACCCCAAGAGCAAAGTGGGTTTAGTTCGGTTCGAAATTCAGTGTTTGGTGGGTTTTAGGAAACAACGCTAAATTCTCTAATCACATTTCAGGTTATTAATCAAACCAAAGCTTGGCTTAGTCCTGCTTCGAAGCCCAACAGAACCTAAAATGAGTTGCAACCTTACTAAGAAACAAGCAAAGAACAACAACCAGCATCCTGTATAACATAACGCTGCACGGCCAATACACCAATGGGGTTCCGTTAGAAACTTAGGCCAGAAGGCAAATGAATTCCATAAACAGCTACAAACTACTTGCTCACATAAAACGCAAATTCAGTAAAATCATACCCTCGAAACAGCAAAACAAAAACGTATGCACAGCTTCAAAAAAAGAAAAAAGAAAAAAGTAGGCACCAAGAAGAAGGAGAGAAATTTAGAATACCATGATGTAGAAGCAATTATATAGAATTTGGTGGAAGCTTAACTAAGACTTTTATTTGACAAAAATCTTACTTGCTTGAAGAGCGATCCATTAGATAATCGAAGTACCCTTCCCAAAACCTGCAACATAATCAATACAAAGAGAGTCAAAAGCTTCATTTATATGAACCCCTTATCAAAATACAAAAAAAAAAAAAAATTAACAGAAGTGATTTTATGTGAAAAAGCAGCAACTCAAAATTAAAAAAGACGCTGTGAATAATAATGAGAGCAGGAATATTACATAAAGTAGGGTGACTCAATGGTCATAAAGATGAGCTTTGGTTTCTAAGCTTTTTATATTCCATTCTTAATTAAAGGCACATGAGTCCTCAAAAAACAAGAGAGCGTTATATAAGAAAAATGTCGGACAAGGGAGTACTTCCTAGGTCTTACATTCTACAGAAAATAACAGAATTTTACTCATCACAAAAAATTTTACTCTCATCAATATTATATTAAAATAGAATCCTGCATTTGTGCTGCTCATTATTCAACAAAGCTACTTCCACCCAGTATAATAATTTCGCGTGGAACTAACATCATGGCTGAGCAATTCACCAATGCCCAATGACCATGGCAATTTTTTGACTTGACCATCTGATCTGTCGGAATTTTTGGTTAATCAACTGTTTCTCTTTTCCTTTTTATTTTTATCTTTCGTTATGAAAATTTGGTTAATAAAAAAAGTTCAGTTATTCCAACACCGCTTCCCTCTTCTGATGAGTTGTCCAGGAAAAGAATTTGTTGCCTTCATGGTCAATTTGATGCGAGGACCACGCAACAGTGGTAACTTTTCTAGCAAGTGTAAAGCTGACTAAAGCTTTCAAGCGACCTCCACTAGCATTTGCCAAGAATTTAGTAGTTTTCCTACAAGACAAATTAACATCAATTTTTTTACCAAAAGTTCCTGACCACACCGAAGATGGTGATATCCCTTTATAAATTCTCTAACCCAAATTGAGTCCAAAGCCTTGCATGAAATCCTTAAAATTAGGAGTTAGGATTCTTGCAAATGTCAGGAAAGAAAAAAAAAAAAAATGGCTTTAGGAACCAAGCACTTTAAGGGGCTGAAAGTGTTCAATAGGCAAACAAATTTTGAGGTTGAAAGATGTTTAAATTTTGCTGATTTAATTTTTTAAGAATGAAAGATGTTGCAAGAAGGATGTTAAGAAGAATTTTCAGTCAGTTCTAGGAAAATGAAAACTTTTCAAGTTGAGATGAGAGGGTTTGGGTGGGTCATGGAATGAGAGGAACACATTAAAGCATTTAGGTAGACTAAAAATTTGCAGGATTACAAACTTGAATCTTGTGATAGCAAAATAGTCCGGAATTTAGACATAAAACTGGGCTTTACAATCGCTGCTGGTGACTCAGTGCTTGGTTATGAATTTCGACTCCAAGGACTTTGTTCTTCTGGAGGTCAATGAAGGCCCTATCTAAAAGCTGGTTCGCTTAAGCTTAGGCAAGCAATATCATTGGTGCATACCTCAATGGGCTTAATATCCAGTTAGAAAAGCATTTGTTATTGAGCTTTAAAGCATGTTTGTGCAACGGAGCTTCATTTTTGTTGCAATGGGCAAAACTCGATTGATCAACACAAATGAACTGTGCTTACTGTCATTGTGAATCCTCTTTTCTACAAATACTAGGCATGCTTTTGGGGCTTGACTCATTCTTCTGGGAAGCTAGTGGTCAGATTTAGGAGAACTCGAAGAGGTTTCATAATATCATAGGAAATTGTTAAAAGATCAAGGAAAGGACGTGAAACATAAAATCCATTTTCTTCAAGAGTCAACATCATGTATCAATCATAATGAAGTAAACATCCTTAAAATGCTAATGTTGCAAAATTAATAGAAGTTTCAACAAAAACCAAAATAAATGTGAGTGCAAAACACAAGACAATTAAAAGTTTGGTAAAGAAGGAAAACTCACATAAACCTCAACTGTTGAATTTCCAACAAAAACATGTTCCCTTAGAAGCCATTTGAGTATTGCAGATGCATTGACGCATGTCAAGTAGGTAATTGACAGTAATTCTTGGGTGCAATATAAAATCTTGGTGGACAAGCTGTGGATGTGGATTCAAGCCTAAAAAACTATAACTTTCTTCGAAATAAAGCCAAACATTAGGCCTATCTACAGTCTTCCCTTTCTGACACCTCATGTAGGTGGGACCAGCACAAGGTAATGGCCTTTATTGATGCATCCAAGTTTGCTTAGGACAACCAATCACTAACGGGAGCCACATTCCATACAAAACCTCAACGGCCACCTGTCATGTTGGCTCTTCTATTTTATTTTTCTTTTCTTTGTTATTAATAATGGATTGTATTATACATAAAAATAAATAAATAAATAAATAAAATAAAAGGCTTTCTTTTCAGTGCTCCTTTAATCCCTAATTGCCAAATTTCTAATTCAGTAAATAAATGTTTATCTGTACATAAGGCGATATTGCCATTGGAAGTCGTCGAGTATAATGAGCTTTAGTATTGGGCTCACATTCGCTTGATTATCAGCTCGATTTACAACCCTCCTACTTACTACCTCTCTCTCTTTAGGATGAGTTTTCCTTATAGACTGGAAAAGATTCAATGAGATTCTTTATGACTGATGAGAGTAGAAACTAGGTGTGGGTCTACACTATGCTTGTGCTCGGGCTCAACCCAAGAAATGAAAAAGCATTCTGGTGGGACTCACAATCGCTTGATAAGCTTACTAATGAGTTTGAACATACAGTAATAGTAATAAAAAGTACAACAGCACAAATTGGAAGCAAATATACAATGATGGGAAGTTATTTATAGAAAAAATGAAATTGTAAACACCTACCGTAACTCCTCCCAGATAGAAAGAGAACGAAGATGGCGTTGGACATAGTCTGAAACATAATTGGTGTCTTTTCTATACATTTCAAAAGACACTTCAAGCGCATCTCTAACAGTCGCCATGTCATTCCGGGAGGTTGCACGAGTGATTGCTGTTTTAAGCTGAAGTAACACAAATTCAGATTAGGAGAAAGAGAAAGACAATTGGATGAAGAAAATGGGAAAAATGGACAGATCGAGATTTAACAACTTCAAGAATGAAGAAGATCGAAATTTACAATTTAAAAAGAAGGGAAAATAAAATAAGGCCAAACCACTAAGAATCTCTAATATTTGAAATTTCAAGCAATAGTGGTAATTCCACATTTGAAATTTCAAGCAATAGTGGTAATTCCACGATGAAAATAATTTCTTTGACAGATATAGAACAAAAAAAAAAACTACATCATTTGACTATTACATGAAGAATAAACATCATTAGAAAAGTAGCGAGTAATTTCTTTGACAATCTCAAAAAAATTAGCATACCAGTTCTTTCACAGCAATAAACTGTTCCTCAGTTAATTGACAGAGCCATCCCTGAGAGCACAAATACAGAAAAATGTAAGATAAATGCTGTGCCCAGAAAATTGATTAAATCATCTTGAAGCTACATACTGAATGTATATGCTCCCTTATGCATTCAACAAAGCCACTACCGCCAATCCCCTCAGCATCAGACTCAATCAAAGCTGCAAAGCCGATATATATGTACAAGTCAATTTACAAGACCTTTTGTGCGATTTAAGCAGACAGAATCTGCAACAGATGAAACAAACAGTTTGCCTCAGAAAGCATCTAAGGGAGAACGAACTCCTCTAGAAATCATACCCAGGATAGTTCCATATTCAAATGATGAAAGAGGATCGTCAGTTGGTCCCAATTTCAAAAGACGAAGCCATAAACCCTGTTTGACACAGCAAACCATTTTGAACCAAAATGACGATTATAATAAAATAAAATTTTCAGCATAAGAAAGACAACAATGATACAACAACAACAACAACAACAACCAAGCATTTTCCCACTTACTTGGGGTTGGCAAAGACTGCAACAATATCAACCAAAGTTAACGTAAATAACATGTGAATTGACTGAGGCAATGGTCTTAAATAGAGTGGAATGGAAACATAGGATTCATGTAGCCGACCCCAAGTAATTGGGAAAAGGCTTGGTTGTTGTAGGAAGCCACCCAGCCCAAAAAAGGAGTGGAGGGGGGGGGGGGGGGGGGGGGGGGGGGGGGATTAAGAAGAAAAAAATTAAGGCTTTATTTGCTACATGGAAACATCTCCCAGAAAGATGATTTCACTAATATGATGCGTTTTTGGTCTTTGTTCCCACTGTGGGAGAGCAAAATGGGAGGCAAAGATACCAACATGCCAGTGGCCTAGCGATACCAGGCCCCTACTTCCCAAAGGGAGGTCAAGGGTTCAAGTCTCAGTGGAGGCATGTGTGTGTGAGTACCAACTAAGAAAGCAAAAAAGAAAAAAAACGGGAGGGGAAGAACATCTTAAATTCATGTGAAATTGCTCCCTCTTAGTGAACAAAACATTATGGGAACAGAGATATTTAACCTGTTCATTGATTAAACTCAAACCAGGCAAGCCCAAGCAATGTGTATATATATAGACATATAAGTACATAAATAAATATATAAACATACCAGAAGCATCATAAAAATCACATACAGTACATAACTTAAAGATAGTGCAGTTATTTTGAAGTTGATCAGCTTTTCTCTACCCATCCCCAAAATTAAAAAGGTAAGGACAAAAAAATAAAAAACTCAAAACTACATCCTCGACACAGTCAAGTTTAACTGTTCATTAGCTCGAATAATATGAACGCTGAAACATCTAACTGGAGGTCCTAGACCTAATTTGGCTAATGCCAGATTATGTCAGCCCTATCCATAAGTAGTGCAATTGTACTTGAATTCAGTTTCCTTTGTATTTTGAGTTTCTGACTAAACATCATGTCAGCAGTGCAGACAAGATGAGAGAGAGAGAGAGAGAGAGAGAGAGAGGGAGGAAGTGGTAACATACACAAAGATTTTGTAGTCACTGTTGAGGAGTAAGTGCCACATTGGAGGTTTGGAGGGAAGCTCTGAAATTAAAAGGGTTTAAGAGAAGTAAGAAGAAAACTGAATATATTGAGTGTAACTTTAATTAATTAAAAAATACAAATAGGGATGTGGTGAAGTTTGAGAATCAAGAGGTACAAAATATGCTCATTTTTATTGTTAAGACTCAATTATTCATAATGAATGATGGAGATAATGTTAATCATAGAATTAAGACATGATGGATTAAATTGAGGAGTGCATCATATATATTACGTTATCAACGAATATCGCTAAGATTGAAAGGGAAATACTATAAAACAGCTATTAGACCAACCATTCTTTATGGAATAGAAAAACAACATGTGAATAAAATGATTATAAAGAAATTACAAATGTTGAGACGGATGTGCGGCAAGACAAGGATAGATTAGAGTTGAACACAATCATGAAATGATTGAAGTATCACCAATTGGAAATAAAAGGAGAGAAAAATGATTAAGATGGTTTGGACATGTGCAAACAAGATAGTGCCAAGTGTGCTAGTTAGAAGAGTGGCATAGTCCTCAAAATTAAGATGGATAAAGTTAGTAAAATAAATATTTGGTAACATGTGACTTGACTGAGGCTCTGACCTTAGATCGAATAGAATTGAAAAATACCCAAAGTAGTTGGAAAAAGTCTTTGTTGAACTGAGTTAAATAGAGTTCTAACTGTTCATGTAAAGAATATCTAAAATTAGTTCATTTATAAATTAAAATTATTTCATATTCCATTAAGTACATACAAAAATATGCCTAGCTAATTATGGTATACATATGCACAAAAATGGATAAAAATTTATTGTCATAGATCTAGTCAAGAATGACATAAATTTGTAAAAAAAACTAAATAAAAAGATTAAATATCCACTATCAAAGTTGTGCCCGACGGCCTTTTAGAGAAGGTGGAAAATACATATCAAATAAACACATCAAAATAATCCAGCAGTTCACAGGCACATAGGACAAGAATTTATATATGAATAAAAAACACATAGTAAGGAATAAATTGAAAAAAAATAAAAAATAAAAAAATTGCAGAAAATTTGATATTTTCCTTAATACATCACATAGATCAATCCGACAAGAGTAACCAAGAAATTTTGAAATAACCAAATAAAATAATGTGCTCTTGCTGTGTGGAAAGAATTAAATTAACAAAACAAGCTATAGACTTCACTGTAACAAATATGAAAAAGTAAGTGCATGAGAAATATGGAGAAAAATGACCAAATAAACAATGTACAAGAAAAACATAAAGAACATATACAATGGGTTTTAGTATTGTGTACATATTATGTAGTGGAAAATAGTTAAAATATACATTGAGCTTTAATCTATGTTACATGGACTCTTCAAAAGTAGGTGAAGTACCCGTGTCGGCAACACATTACTCTGACATGGATATGAAATATGTGTTCTGACACTTTTGGTTGGACAAGCACCCAGAAAACATATTCAATATTATTACTTCAAAATGAGTGAAATGCCTATATTAAACACTAAGAAATACCTATATTCAGTAGTGTCCATATGTCCTCTTTAGGGATTTTAAACATCCGACGCGTGGATGCATATCCGTACTTGACACACGTACCCGAGTCCACGTAACATAGGCTTTAATACTGTGTATATGGAGTATAGAAGATACATCTTAATGGGTTTGAGGTCGTATGTTAAGAGTGTATTATTATGATGTGGGCTGTTATTACGTAACCCAAGACTTAATTAGGGGCCATTTATCAGAGTTTTATGAGAGTTTAGAGGGGCCATGGCCTCACCTAGTCCCTTTAGTGGTCCACATTGGGCTGAGGAACATCAAAATAAATTCGATTTTCTGGAGGTTATATCCCAAACAACAGTTTTTTGAGTTTCATATGAAATTTCTAAAGTGTATTAAAATTTCAGAGCATATCCCATTGTATCTGCTCATAAATTTCTCATAATTAATAGTTGGCATCCAGACCTAAATCTTATGAAGAATTTCCAGAACTACTGGTGGAGGTTACTTTTTATGCTGCTAGAGTTTTGGACAACCGAAAATATAGCATACCTGAGAGAGTTATATGTCTCTTTACCTTGATGAATCAAGAAAACTAAATAAGAGCCTAAATTTTGCCGAAGATAGTGAGAGGATTTCAGCAGAAGTGGGGTTCCTACCTAGTTTTGGTGTTAGCAAATAGTAACACGAAAAATGTTAGGCCTGATCTCCCCCAGAGGCTTCAAAGTGCAGCCATTGCTCTGTAAAGCTTTTGTTATACATCTTGCAACAAGATCCTAAAGCAACTACTGGTGCCAAAGATGCAAAATTCTGGTGGTGATGATAGATCATAAAGGTGCTTAAATGACCAGCAGCAGTCTCAAATGGAAAAAATCCAGTATGGTTTGTATTCCAAGACGTAAATAAGATAAAGTTGTAGGGGATGGATTTGGCTGAGTCTGCATGGCTAGGCCACATCATCAACAATGGCCCACAAGTCACACGGTCAACGGTCAAAGGTAAGTGACACTTGCCACATCATCTGTATAACCCGAACAAAAGATCGAGGACTTGAAAACCTGAGTTGGGAGTAGGACTCAGGATTATCTAGGATCCGAGGAGGTACTTGGTTTGGTGGCTGAAGTCTAGGGTCCGTCGAGTCAACACTCGACCTGGCTTGTAGAGAGAAATAATATATGACTCCCATACAAATTAAACCCATCTCATGTTAATGGGCCCACAGGTGATGTCATCATAGACATCACCCAACCTCTCACTTGGCCTATAAAAGGAAATACTCCAAGGCCAATAGGGGAAGAGCAGAAGGGGGAGGAAACAACCTCCAAATGGAGAGAGCCTCTCCCTCATGCTTTCTCCATACACCTTTATCAAGGGAGTCAATAGTGTATCATTACACTGCCATCTTTATACTCTCTCTCGAGCTTGCCTGTGCTTCCACCTCTCTCAATCCACCTCCGATTCTATGTTGTCTGAATCATTCATATTTTGTGTTTTCGATATCAACCTTGCTACTTGTAGCACGATTGTATTAACGAACACCCACAAAAGCTAAAGAAAATTTCTTGACTGAAACTACAAGGTTGGCAAGCACTTCTGGATTCCATTCCTCTATTTATCCAGAGGTCCCATATCAGTAGAGAAGGCCTCTACAAAACACCATTTGGACTTTAAAGAGGAATTGAGAATACTGAATCAGAAGCTGTTGGAGCCAACCATGAAGGAGGGTGTTCCAGCATGATATACATTATTAGGCTCATTCTCTAATTGCTTGAACTTTTGGGACAATTGGTGTTCTAAGCTTTGTTTCTGGGAGGTCTTCAACTCAAGTCTCCATATATGCATTGTTTTCCGTATATGCATTTGAACCCTGTTTTTATGTGCATGTTTGAACTTTGTTTTGGTTTTGGGTTGGTCTATTTACCTCGCCACATGCACACTGGAGCCAACACTCCAGGGAGAATGTTGGGAGTTTAATACACAATGGTGGAAATGATTCTTTATCAGCTCAAGCCTTTGGGACAATATGTATTCTATGAGTAACTGCTGCGAAGACTAATATTCACTTGGAACAAAAATCTTGTCTCGAACTACTTCTGGGGCCGTCATACCGGAAAAAAAGCTGATATATATATATATATATATATATATATATATATTTGTCAAGCAAGAGCTTTCGATTATACTGGAAGCTGTTGGCAGTAATTCTTCCTCCCTAAATTCCCTTTTTGACCTTGAGGCTGAGTCTTTTTCTCCATGTTTTTTCTTTTGTTCATGTCGGTAGACAAAAATCTAATTTACACAAAAGATGGAAAATAAAGGACCATATTTGCTTCAAATAATGTACTTATACCTGTCATCAACATATAAGTACAGCATGTTTATCAGCCGAATGTTTTCCATATAAAAAGCTTCCACACAAAAATTAGTGTTTTTCCTCATCACTAGAGTTCATCAACTCAAACATATTATGTACATAAGGATCAACGAATCACTCATATTTAGAAGACAAGATGAGCAAAAACCACTCCCCTCCCCCTTCCCAAAAATAATAATATCAACAATAATAATAAACCCAAAAAGGAAAAATGAAAAAAAGGGCAATTCAAATATATAAAACCAATTAAAATGGAATCAAGGTAACACTGAATATGTACAATTCTAGAACTACCTGGAAATCTAATGAAAAGAACAAAAGTTAAGTGTTTCACCTGCAGCTTCACTTTTATGTCTAAAACCATGCGCTCCCGTTCAGCCTGTAAAACATATATTAATGTTTTGATTTTGAATAATTGCAGAAGTTCACTCAAGTTACTGGTGATAATGAAGATTTGAACAGAACTTACAGCCCTCTCCCTTGGACTCAGACTTTCTGCTTTGGGGTCCACAGAAGGTGAACTGGTAAATGAGAGAATAGAAGATTAGGGACAATTTGAACAAGCAAAAAACTGCACAAGCAGCATGTCTGACAATCAGCCTATATCTCTATATAAAAATGGAGAGTAACATCTTAATTTGTCATTTATATATACTTGGGAGCATGAGTTACAGCTCCAATTGCTGCTGCAAGAATTTGCCTCCTCTTTTCTTCCTGCTCTTCTGTTCTAATATTTGTAGGAAATCTATCATAAATATATTTAGCACCCGACCCTGATGCGAATAGCAGAATTAGAATCCAAATAATATTATATCCAGCTCAAAATGTTTATGTTTGAATCTTTATTGAAATCATGCCAAACTGAAAACCTCTAGTAAATGGTTATAAAAAAAGCACCTGATATTCCTACACCGGGATCTGATATGGTTATAGTCTCAGGCTCTGCCAAAGGAGTGGGTATAATTGATAGAGGATTTTGACCTCTTCCAGTTGCATCTTGTAACTTGTCAAGAAGATTATTCATGCTTTCATCAGAACCTAGACCTCTCTCCAAATAGTCCATGAAGCCTTGTGTGTCTAAAAACTGTGACAACTGTTCACAACAACAAAGATAGAAACATCTCAGTTCAAGGATGGTTGAAGTTCAGTCACAAAAGAAGCATGACAAATATATATATATATATATATATAGAGAGAGAGAGAGAGAGAGAGAGAGAGAAGATCATCTGGTATATGGATTAATGGATTCTTCAATAAAGAAAACTAGAAGTTTGTAAGTCAGTGGTTGAAAAATATAATGACAACTGCCAGGACATAAAATCACCATGGGATCCGATGGTTGGTTGGTTGACCGAGAACGCTTCTTCAAAAATGCTTGAGAGTTGAAGACATGAGTTCCTGTATTTTCCTGCCATATACTGATTTCATCAAGCTACTTCAAAGAACACTGTAGAAACATTTAGAAATATATATATACATATAAAGAGAAATAAGGTAAAATTTCATACAATGAAATTGCGGTAGCCACCTAAAATCGAGGCAAAAAACTTCAGGAATATAAACCTGCACACATAAATATTATTCGTGGGATAAGAAATAGATGTTTCATATCGAACACTATCAATTCTGCAGTACTAAAGCGTCAACAGATAAATTATAGAAGCAACTACAGTCGAGCATCAACAAAGTTCCCCAAGTTTTCCCTATTAACAAATAGAACAGCTATAGAAATAAGCGATTTACAATACAAAACACAATTATATTGTTTAGAAATATATATGGATACATCATACATGTACATACATACATACATATATATATATATATATATGTGCTTGTGAATCAGTTTGTGCTTCTGACAATATGGCATATGGATGTTTGACAATACCATAGTACTGCAGTGTTCAAGCATAACAGATAGTATCACGACCCGCCACAACCCGTGTAGATATTGTCCGCTTTGTACACTTTCCTCTTGGTGCTCATAGTTTTCCTAAAAACACGTCTACAGGGGTGTCTACACATATAAATGTCAAGAACTTCTCCCCCTAGGCGATGAAAGACATCACAATCACCCCCTCTTGGGAACCAGCGTCCTTGCTGGCCAGCCCGCCCAAAACCCATGTAGAAATTCTGCTTTGAATACTCTCCTCTCATTGCTCACGGTTTTTCAAAACGCATCTACATGGTTAAGAGGTGTCCACACATATTAGTGTCATCAAACCTCCCCCTAAGCGATGTGGGACGTCACAATCACCCCCTCTTGGGTCCTAGCATCCTCGTTGGCGTAACCCTCATGGATTTGTGCACGGTGCCCCAACTTCCAGCTAGGGATTGGCTCTGATACCATTTGCCACGACCCGAACCAACCCATGTAGATACTAGCATCAAACATTTCCGATGAGATTTATGGAGCCATTTTAAGATAGCAAGCACTAGCCCCCGGTGCGACTTCATAAAAAGCAATCAAAGAGAAGATCGAAGAGAATGAAATGCACATAGTGGTTATTATAGTGGTTCCTTCTGTGGGTCAACATCATTCTCAAACTACGGAACCAACAGGTTTTACAGACATGATTCGCTGCCTGCCTCTGTTACCTTTAACTATAGTAGCGATCTTTTACACGAACAACTATAATTCATCTCGGTGCTCACGGTTTTCCTCAAAACGCGTCTACATGGTTAAGGGGTGTCCACACAAATAAATGCCATGAACTTCTCCCTCCAGGCGATGTGGGACGTCACACATAAATCAAAGAGCAACTCAATCTAGTTTCGACAACTAGAGTTCCCCAATTTCTCCCTTGTAAAATAGCAGAGACTTGGGGCAATAACCAGTTTAAAATAGAACACACATTACCATTGTCTAAAATATGTGTATGATTGTGAATTAATTTGTAGCATAACTATACGGCATACAGAGTTCCGTTAGATGATAACACGTAAATCTTCCAAATGATATTTAATTCAAGGGAACAAAGCATGTCAACTTCACAACAAAGCTATATGCTCCATTTGGTAGTGATGAAAGATTTATATATTTATGTTACACCCTCTCTAACAGCTTAAGCTTTTAGAGTACATGGTAGTTAATATGGTATCAAAGCCAAAGGTCTCGAGTTCAAACCTCACCAACACCCTAATTAAAAATTGAAAGACACGTGTTGGACCAAAAGAAAGGCCACACGTGAGGGGGCATATTGAAGGATTTATATATTTAACTTACACCCTCTCTAACAGCTTAAGCTTTTAGAGTAGATGGTAGTTAATAGGTAGGATGGAAGAAAATTAGATGAAAGGAAGAGAAGAAAAGATGAAAAAGATATCCCTAGGGAAGAGATTTTATACTTCCCTCTTTTGTTTGGTTGGATGGAAGAGAAGGGAACAGAAAGTCCTAATTATAAGGAAAGTTTTGTAATTCAAAAACATTTATGATAGCATTGTATTTCTTCCTTCATGTCTTCCGTCCATATTTGTATAGACGGAAGAAAATTTGTGAAGAAGGAAGGATGACCCATCCATCCTCTTTTCTCTTCTCTCATGGTCTCCTCACTACCAAACGAAAGAAATTTGTTTCTTCCATCCAGTCGTCCGTCCACCCCTCTTCTTTCCTTTCGACCAAACGGAGCATTATTCTAAACTACACGGAGTAGTTTAAATCAAGGTATCTCAAGGACGGAAAATTAGCAAATCACAAGACACATGAAGATAATGTACACTATTAAAAAAAAAAAAAGAAGATACAGTAAAAAATAAACCAGTGCTTGAAAAGAATTGGGATGCAAGACCTAACAAAACATTTACAAGGTACTTGCATATCACTAATGGTTCATATGGATAAAAGAATGGAAGGTTAAGGATTGTAACACAAGGCTCTGATAGTAAAGTATGCAAAAAGGCACAAAGTAGACTTAAATTGAGGTGAATAGGTATAACAAATTTTAACAGATTTTCAAATTTTAAACCAACTTTAACTAAATTTCAACGTTAAGAACTAAGCATTTTAAAAATCATGTGTTCATATGTGGATGATTTTTAACTAAATTTCCGCAGATTTAGCTTGACCAAAAATAAGCCCAAGCGGTCGAAATTGGTCCAGTGGGTTTCAATTGATCCATCAATCTACCAAAATTCGTCAATCCTTTTCCTTAATGATTTCGAGGATTAAAATATATATATATATATATATATATATATATATATATATCCAAAACATTTTTATGTATTCTAAAACAATGTTTTGAATATCAAAACAAGTAATTTGAAAACCCTAACAGGTTTAATGATATAAATGGAAGCATATGAACCCTAATTTTGGTGTATGCACAATTTGAGAGTCGGAAATTACCTGTTCGCTCTTGCTTGATGCTTTGAATTCCAGTTTTTCCCTTGGACAAGAGGTAACTCAACTTGCTAATCTGACTAACTTTTGAAACAATAATCAAAAGCTAAAATAAACATACAAACTCTAATTTTGATCAAAATTTGCCAACCTAGTCCTATTGACCTAAGAAAATTGATTTGAAATCAAGGAATTTGGGCTTAAATAAAATATTGGAATCAAAGTTAATTCGGAAGTGGTGATGTTAGAATAGAGGTATGGAGACATTTAATTCCAATCATTGTTCAACTAAATCCTTGTTGGCATAAATTTCAAGAAACTCACTATGCCTTGTTACTTGGAGTCAACGCATACAATCCTCTCAAATCAATCCATGCGTGTTGCTAAAATTTTAGTCTAAATTACCCTTATCAAAAAAATAATAATAATCTAAATTACTAAATCCAAATTTAAGCTATATTTCTTAAATAACCAAACAAAAAGTCGTTCATTTGAAATCCTTTACTCAAAATGAAGCGTTAATTTCTCTCATTCTCAGTGGATATCAATTGTGCAATCACAAAATGCTTTTTGTTGGAGGTTGTCAAATTCTTGATTCAGTTCTTATTGCTGGCGAGTGTATGGATTCCAGATTGTGTAGTGGGGTTCCAGGGGTTTTGTGCAAGCTGGACGTTAAAAAGGCTTATGAACATGTTAGTTGGAGTTTCCTTCTCTAGAAGATTACTGGATTATGCCCAGGTCCTCCAAAGGGTTAGTTGAGGCCTGGAAAGGTTGTACAGTGGTCCGTGGTTTGTGGAGGGTTACGCCTTCGGACGTCTGGTGGTGTTTATGGCTTGAAAGAAATAGGTTTCCTTTTGAAGGAAAGGAGACTCCTATAGGAACGTTGAAATTCTACATAATTAGGCTCTTTTTTGTTGGGTTCTAAGGGAGATTGTAAATCCATGGAGGAGACAGTTGATTTTTTGGACTCTTTTGACTGTTTATTTGGCCTTGTGCTTCTTTTGAGGGTTGCACTCCTTCTTAGTGCCTTCTAATACAAATCTTACTTCTCAAAAAAAAAAACGTGTGATGTCCCCACTCTGTGTGACACAAAAAATCATGACAGAAACCCACATCGCGATTATACATGATCATATTATAATTATACCACAAATCATAAGGGAAGAGTTGGTCTGCCATTACACAAAGACGCATCTTAAGAACAGAACAGATTAGAGAACTGCTAAAAGCAAGAATGATACAGGTTAATTCAACTATTTCAGAAAATTGCAATAAAAGTAAGAACAGTCAGCTCTAGGAATGCAATGACTATATCACAAAAATGTCCATATGGCGTCCGGGTATCACCTAAGTTGAAGGTCATGATCTTCTCCCCAAGGCTTGCTGCAACCTCTGGGATATTGCTCAGATGAATTCACTAGGCTGGCCTTCATCTGGTCTATCCCCACTACATTTGGATATAATAACTTCATTATTTCAACACGCAAAGAACTTAATTCTGGCTCTGGTAAGGGAGGAATATCCTCCGTTGTGGTGATGCGATTATGCTCAAGTTCCACAACAACTACCTACAAAAACAGGGATGCAGTGTATTTTTAATTCAAGAAAACATGTTGCTATGACGTGTGTGCACGCGCGCGCGCACGTTGTCATTGCTACAAGATTCATCAGGGTATTCAACAAAATACAAGGTGTATGAGCATTATAAATCTGATACTAAAAAGATCCTTAAGCTGAAGCAGGAGAAACAAAATCAATCAAACACATAAAATGAATAAACAAATACCTTAATTATGGTTCCCCGCATGGCTTTACTTGTACTATGGACAACAAATTGGACAAATTCAAACAAGTAGAATAAAAAAATCAAATGCCCACAAGTGACAGCTTGACAGGCAAAGGAGGCAGTTAATCATCAAATTGGGAGACTTTCATTGCAACGATTGGGATTTGGTCTTCTATATGGATTGATAGGCTTGAGAGATTCCAGTTTTAAAAATGTTTGAAGAACAAATACATATTCCTATGTTTTCTACACTTGTATAATGTTTGAAGAATCTTTCTTTCAGTTTCCCCTCTTTGCCACCTTGATCCTAGGGCACCTAGAGAGGCTTTTATCATCTCTGTCGTATGAAATGGTCAGAAACTCAGAATATGGGCAGAGGTTCACACCAAGCATGGTTCTCTTGATCCTCCAGCCAAGCAACCGTAAAAAGAAAAGAAAAGAAAAAAAAAAGAACAGAAAAGAACATCAGTGTCTTTTCTTCAATGTAAAGCATGCAGAAGAAGTTGGATTCAAAATTTGGCACGATAGATATATTTTACTTATGTTGTAAACATTTTTTTTCCTGAAACAGAAAGGTATGAGGTATTTATCCCAGCCAGACAAAGAGGCCAGTTGAAAACAGAGAGAAAGTTGCACACATTCTGACAAGGAACAGCAAGAATTGATATTTAAGTCCTTAACTGATAAAAAGAGGAAGGTTTCCTCATCCTCTCATTGTACAACTGTTTTCCTCTATAATATGGTGATGTCATTCCTATCAAAATATGATAATATGCATATATATTCCATCTCCAGGAAATTAACCAATACTGCAGAGTATATTTGAAACAAAAGTACTAACGAAAGTTGTTCTTAGTCAACTAAGTCTTTTATATTTAGTTAATAGTTTCACTTATCAAAAAAAAAAAAAAAAATTTAGTTAATAGTTTGGTTCGGCTAGGTCCTAATGGTCCCCAAAACAGAACCAACCCTAAGCTAACAGTTCTCTATTTTTGGACCTGGAACCAGACTGAACTGTATGATTCAGACAGGTTCACCGGTTCCACAGCATTTTTTTTTTTTGTGCACCTCTAATTTGGTTAATTATCTCCAGGAAGATTAACAGCATAACACAATTCTTGCCTTATGATAGTGTACTGACATTGCTATTAAATTATGATGCCACAGCGGACACATAATTTCAAAAAAAATTGAAAAAAATAAGGGGGATAAGATGAACCAACTGAAAAAACTGCCTTAACAACTCCTCAGAAAGGGACAAAATAAGACATAAATGAGAAACTATTAACAATCTTAGACTAACATGTACAGAGTATTAATAATAAGAAAGACAACATAGAAAAGGAATGGTGGGCACCCAGACGATAAGAACTATTTATGGTAAAAAAATAAAAATAAATAATGGAAGCTCAAAATAGCACATTAAATTACTTACACCATCCATTGTCAGACCAGTAGTATCAACACCTGAATGAAGACCCATCATATATGGTGTAGGAGCATCAATATAGTCTACTCCACTGAAAAATAGTAATGGAATGTAGACATGCTTCAGCACAACAAACATAGAGAGATTAGATGGCAATCCACTTACAGAATTAATTAATGGCAACGCTACTACATAAGCACATCTGGTATTAAGTAAATATCAAAATCAATTAACTGCCATGTCCAGCAATATCAAAGAAACTTCGCTGACATTTAATCACAAACTTAGCAGCATATAAATAATGGGAACATATTAAAAGGTACTAATCTAGCAAGATCCCAGTGTTACCTGCCACCGAAATGGATATATTAAATGGCATATGGCTTCTGAGACAAGAGTTAAAAGAGAATACCTGCAAAACACATTTAAGTGAACAATTATATATGTGATTCTTGATAACATGACAATAGCCATTTTACCCACAATGGTCAATCTAACGCAATCCAAAGCTGTAAAAGAAATATATATACATATATATATATACACCAAAAAAATTCTATAGTTATATAAATTAGTATCAAAATTGCTTAAAAGCACCATACACTAGGGGAACAAAATTGTATAATTCACCAATTAGAAACCACTTGCAGCAAAATGGAACTTAAAAAATACAAGATGGCATGCTTCAAGCTCTTCACAAGTCAAAAGCTCTACATATTTTTTAAATGCATATGTGAAGTCATGTATAGTACCTGCCTACCTTTGTCCTGGTCATAGTTGTTAAAGGTGCGCACCAAGCGCACCGGGGGCAAGAGGCGCAGGCATAGCACAGGCGAGTCGATTTAACTAAAGCGAGCGCCATTGTTGCAGGCATGCCAAGGGCAAGTCGCACCTAGTTAAAGAACGTATATTTTTTCTCCTCGTGCGTGTCAAATGCTGGGTGGTGTTTGTGTGCTCTATTATATTATGTTACCAAGTTACTAACGGTAAAATCCTATACGCTTACTGACAGTAAAAACTTATTTTGTACTGTTTTACCAAGTTACTAACAGTAAAATCCTATACATTTGGTTTTTTTAAAAATAAAAAAATAATAATTAAAAAAAAAAAAAATTGTTAATACAATTCCCAGCCCAAAGACAGGAGCCGCAGGAGTGCAACTGGTACAATTTGTCTCTCAGCCTCTCAGGTAAGCCCCTCTTCTTCTCTCTTCTCTCTCCCCTCCTTTTCTTCTTTTTTTTTTTCCTGCACTTCTGCTCTGTTTTCCTTCTCCTTTTTTTTTCTCTCTCTCTCCCCTTGGCAGCTTCACTTTTTCTTCAGCAGAATATGTTCTGCAATTTTTTTCTTTTCTTTTTTTAACAAGCCCTTTAGTTTTCAAAATCATCCATTACTCATGATCTATACCATGTATTTCAAATCTCAATTCCATTAGTTTGTATATGATCAGACTGCCTTTTGGAAAATTCTCAAATTTTCTTTCCCAAAAAAATAATAATCAAATTTTAGTATATGCATTTTAGAGGTGTTCTTTCATGAATTAAATGAGAAAACATTCCCAAAACAACCTTTTTTTTTTTTTGATAAGCAACTTGCGTCTCGCTTCAGTCAGGCCAGTGCCTCACCTTGTGCCTTGCGCCTTGCGCCTCAGGCTCCAGGAGACATTGGCGCCTTAATGCACCTTGAGCCTTTAACAATTGTGGTCCTGGTGGCTTTTGGTCTTAACTCTCAAGCTCCAAGTCAAGGTTTCAAGACTGATAGAGAGAAGAAGGAAAAAAAAGTCTAGTATAGTAAATCATGGCCCACCTTTTGTCCCTGTAGCACCACTAACTTGCACCAAACCAGTCCTACTTGTGAGTTCATTAGTCTTTGTTGCACATGATCAAAACATCATAGCCAACGTTCATCCACTCCACTAATAATGTCTTCTCTTTAATAATTTATCTTCTCATGCCTTGCCATTTATCCAATCAGCACTCAGCACGTCATTTCACCTATGCTAATTTTTTGACATGTTTCTTGACTACCCAACCTCATCAAGCATGGTTGGCAACAATCATAAAACAATATAGCAACACATCTTCAAAGTATGGGCAACAGAGTCTCGCCGTCTCAGTCTCCCCTCCCGGTGGACAAACTATCCAATCTAACATAAGCAGACTCTTCTGAATACCCCTAGCCCATCAGTGTTCATTATTTCTTCATCTTCACTCCAAGTCCATTAAATTTATCCATATATTATTAGTCCTTGTAATCCTGAAACCTTAACCCTAAACATTTTGTTTATCCCAATAAACAATTTTGTACCCATCTATTCTTACTATTTCTGTAGCTGTTTAATCTTGAGCAATTCCATGTGTTTCCATCTCATGTCTAAGATGTCGCACCCACAAAAAATAATAAAATAAAAAACAACATAAAATGATGTCAGCATATGTATAAACAATAATGACACAGCACATCATAATATATGACAGTAGAGAATTCATTCAAAGCAACTAGAATCCAGTCCTGCTGAAATATGCAAGCTAAATTTTTTCTTTATTTATTTTTGATAAATACGCAAGCACTAAAATTTAATCAGTTGTAAAAAAAAATGATTCAACTCCCATCGTGTTACAAAAAATGCTTCCAATCGTGATGAAAAAAAAAAAAAAAAAAATCATTCCTACTTTCTGCTTCTAGTCCCATATTCTCTCTGCAGATAAAAAAATGATTACAGTCAAGCTCCAAAAACATTACGTGATATATGCTTTAATAAGAAGATGGCACAACATGAGCCCTGAGCACAGTGGATAAAGTCCATCCACCACCTCCTTCCCACCCCAAAAATTAAAAAATAAAATAAAATGAACCCACGACAACATATCCATCTTTCAAATTTACACCACCTACAATCCTTAGTCAAGGGCAGGTGAAAACAATTACCAATCTAGGCACATAAAGATACAAAAGAAGTGGTATCACATGATGTGTTGTAGCTTTCGGAAGAGCTACTGAATAATGTTTGCTCCATGCAATGTCAGCATACTTAGCATTCATAAACAAAAGTCTGGAATATATATAAAAAGCAGTCATCATTAACACCAAAATAAAATATTAAGCTTTAGACACCAAACTATCAATTTGGTATCACCTGTAACTGTTCTCATACATAAGCAAATACAAGGTTGATTATTGGGCAAAACAGACTGCTCCAACCGTTGTGTAACACAGCCTTCCAAAATGACAATGATTTAGGCGCTGTTTGATAAAACTGAAAATTAAGCACTGAAAATTTCAAGTATTGAATTTTAAGCGCTGAATGATAAAACTGAAAATTAAGCACTGAAAAGTGGTGCGAGTATCAGCTAGGGAAAAAAAAAGATATTGTCTATAGACTAATAAAATTTAAATAGATTTTTCTAGACAAATGACGTGAAAAATGTTTTAAAATGTCTAGAAAGGAAAAAATACAAAAAAAATAACTCTAGATTTGGAGTAATAAAATCCAGTTACATTTTTCTAGACAAATGACATGTCAATATGTGTACAAATATCTAGAAAGAAAAAAATACAAAATATTGTAACTCTTTGAATAATCAACTGCTACAGGCAATAAAATAAATTCTCTTTCTACCAAGTGTTTTACTTGTCCTTCCATTCAACTATTCAATCTATAAAATATCCTACTATCTTCAAGTCTTACCTACCATCTAAAATCCAACAAAATGATATTATCCTCAAATGATAAGTGACCTGCTAAACAATGAAGAGCCTTGGGGAATGGGATGAAGAGCCTCATGAGCCTTGCAATTATACGAGGCTCAATTGTCAATTAGAAATTTTTTTAAAATAAACTACTGCGGAGCCTTGGAAAATGATGAAGAGCCACACGAGCCTCACGATTATACGAGGGTTAATGGGTGAATATAATTTTATTGAAAAAAAAAAATGCCACTGACCTCGATCTGCAATATAGTTTAAAATTTTAGCCTGTTTTAAGGGGTACTTTGAATTTTTAAAATCGCTTCCCATGTTCAGCGTTAAGCACTGAATCAGGTTTATCAAACAAGGCCCTACGTCTTGACCCCCAAAAAAAAAGCATTAACTATTTCAGCGTTGTAACCATTCAACATATTTCAAAGCTGAGCATGTAAAAAATTGGCAAAAAAATGACTAATGCTATTAATTCATTTCTTGAGAAGAAATAAGTATTAATATATTAAAAGCAATTCTTAAGACCAAGCCAGTTTAATTATGGGTATCTAAAAAGTTTCTTCTGATTTTCATTATATCAAAGTGGTGTTCTTACTTATCAAAAAAAAAAAAAAAAAGTGGTGTTCAGACAAAAAGAAGTTCACAAGTATAAAACCACAATTTGATCCGATCACAAGCAAATAATTTAAATTAATCTACTAAAATAATTTTTAACAGTTCAAAGTCAGAAAGATACTTGTTAGATCGAAGCAAGACCCTCCTTTCTAGCAAGACAGCTGTAAATAGTTTAATGAAATTGTCGACGTCTAAGCACTGTACCAGAGGTTGAAACGATATCTGCATTAAGTGAAAGACGATAATTATCAGACAAAATCATCAGTTTTCAACAAGCACTGAATCACACTACTAAGGAAGGCAGCACTGCTAACTTAACAAAGTAGTTACTAGACGACATACATCAGCATGTGGGAGCCCTTCTCTTGGTGGAACCTCAACAGCAAGCAGGCTATTCTCAATGGCAAACAGAACTCGATCCCTTCCAGGAGTAGGCAGAGGTACATTGGATACCATATATGATATAACATCCCATAGTGGCTTGCTGAAATTGTTGCAGAGTTGAGCATATTAATCGAATAGAAGGGAATATATGGAAAACTTTTTTTTGTTGGGGAAAATTAGAGTTCTACAATCAGGAGAAGAAAATGCTTTACGTACCAAAGAACCTCTATCTTAATGGTATGATCTCCCCTCCCCAAAGGGGGAGACTGAGAATTCGAGTCCCACTAGGGACATATTGTGGATAATAGGTGTGTGCATTTGCTTTAGCTTCCAAAAAAAAAAAAAAAAAATGAAAGAAAACGCTTAATGTATTATATCTAAATGCATATTTAGTTAGGACCAGGCTATCCACGGTTAATCGAATTTGGGTAAACTTTATTGCCTCTCTTCTCCAGTGGTTTCTTGTGTGCGTATGTACTAGTGTCTGCTTGAAAAAAAAAATATATATATATATATATATATATACACACACACACACATATGCAAACAAAGGATTGACTTATTTAACCTTGCAGAAAACTAATGTTGCGCATTCCAGGAGGTCAATTTTTTCTCCTTTCTGGGAAGTACTACACACGCCACAAGTCCAAACCAAAACTTGAACAGAGCACCTTCCAGTCAGTAGCAGGAGACACTCGAACTAACAGCTGGTCTTCTCACTCTTGGCGGTTATCAGATGTGCCCCACATTTAGTTTGACTAAAAATGATCATATACAAATCACCACTTGACAATTGGAATTCTGAGGGCAAAAATTATTCTCTCCGCCCCTTCTCTCTCTTACCATAAAAAAAAATGAGAAAACAAGAAGTTGAGAGAATCAACTAGATTTTAATCTGGATGATTCTGTAAGAGCAAACACCCCGTCAACATAAGCTAGACTAGTTGCTGGTATAACCATGGTGTATGGTCATTTTATTAGAATTACTAAAAATTTGTCTTCATTCTTAGAGAAAGATTAGTTAGATTTTTAAATCAGTCAATCAGAGAGCTGACTTTTCATTTTCAAGGGGCTACCACTTTAGCAACTGTTAGGGGATACACTTGTTCATCCTTAGGTTCATTGGTGGATTTTTTGCTCGCCTACTGAGTTTTTTTGGATGCTAATCCCACAATCTCTTATGGTTAGGCTTCTCTAAAACCTCGCTCCCTGGTTATGTTCTTCCTTATTAACTCCATGGTTATGTTAATGTGCAAAGAAAACTAGTAAGTACACAAGTTAGGAAGAGCGGCGTGGTCCACATTGAAGGTAATGCTAGGGGTAAGTATGACTGTAGTTATGACCTAAGTCACATAAAGTGGGTGCGGGAACAGAAGCGAGTGCGAGAGCGGGAGCGCGAAAGCAGCAAAATTTAAGTCATACAGAATGGGAACGGGAGCAAGAGTGTGCGCGGACCACAAGAACGGGAGTGGCGCGGAGCGTGAGGGTGGCACCCGTTTAGAAGAATTGTGTGACTTAGGTTATGACCACAGATATTACAGAATACAAAAAATAAAAAAAGGATTCATGTAGCACAACCCAAGTAGATGGGAAAAGACACTGTAGATTTAAGTTTCATCGACACTGTAGGTTTAAGTTTAATCTTCCTATTGTATTTTTCTCATTATCTTAGCACATTCCTTCTAATATCCTTAAATTAAAAATAAACTGAGAGAATGGAGAAATTCACAATAGAACCATGGTCCTGAATATCAAGACCTGTATCAGTTTGGGAGATGCTCCAAAGTACCACCAGGTCATAACAATGGCCCCAACATTGTTGGATGGAGGAGAAGATAGGGTGAAGACGGAGAGATGGGTGTTGCTGTAATGCTAAAGATGGAGAAGTCCAGGAGAATAATGGAGGGGATTTCTCTGCACAGGTTGAGTTGAAACAACCAAATTGCCAATCTTTGTAAAACTAAAAACTCCTTAATACTGCAACATAAAAACAAACCTAAAGGCATATTAGTCCTAAAAAGTATGAAAATGTCACTAAAGTACTCCAGGAAGTAGTATGTTAGCTTTCCTCTTTGAATAAAATGTAAGCAGTAAAAGAAAGAAGATGACATTACAACTAAGTGTTTTAGGCACGCGTTTTAATATTTCAATACTAATATAGATTCTTGAACAACAATGCAGTATTAAAAGTCTAAATTCACATAGTTGCCAACTATATCACATATGATCGAGCTTTAATCACTAAATAAAACTTACCTACTCCCCGTAGGGGAAAAACAAAGTACAAAAAGCTCCTCCAAAGCACTTCGAAGGATACGAAAACCGGGCGAGCGTGAAACAAGACAGATACATTTGTCAGCAAATGAATTTGCATTAATGCGATAAGCTTCAGCAATATCCTCGCTAACTGGATCTCGAAAAGCAATGCAACTGACATAGATTTTAGACCCATCACCCTCTGCAGAAAAAATCACATCCAAGAAAACAATTACTCAAGAAAACAAGTCTGGAGAGAAAACCCTGGATTTTAAATAAACAAGAAAAGAAAGCAACAGAAAATATATATATATATATATATATATGAAGAGATTTTCAAGAAACCATTTCTGTATAAAGTAATCAAATTTGATAATTTTGATAAACTGGTGTCAAATAAATTGAGTTATAATCTTCTTCAACGATAATAAATATTATGTAGTATAATGGGATAGTAAATAGGCCATATTCTATTAGAAGACTGATCATTTCAATAAGAATACACTTGCGTATTAAGTTGTGATAATGTACAAAAGAAAATTAATAAAAGACAAGCAAGAGGATAGAAAGTCAGTAGCTATGTTCACTCTCCTCATCCCCTTGTATTGAATGGATTAAAGGGTTTTTAAGGCTGATTACAATCATTGTGTATTGGTAAAAGGGGTTTATAAAGGCTACAAGGAAGAGATAATGGTTGAAGGTTTGATAATGGTTGACCAGTAAGCTTTGGGAGTTCAAGTCCCGTGTGCTATGATGAGAATTTGAAGGAAGAGATTTGGGCTTGAATAGGATTTTGAAAGCCGAAATGATTAAAACGGATTTGGTTGTAGGGTTTTTAAAGGCTTAAAAATTGCAAAGAAGTAAAATGATTAGTTATGACTTGAACACCACCCCTAGATTCAATATAGGCATTGCACCTAGAATAGCATACATGATCCACAAAAAGCATAACTACTAAAAAAAATTCTCTAGAACTTGTGATCCATTTGATTGAAAGCATTACATATTTATATATTAATTTTCAAGTATTCCTAATTCTAATAGGGTTGGACTCTATTTTTAAATACCTAGTTTGTCAGACCAGTAAAACACAATATAAACTCATTAAAATCCACCAAATAAATATTCAACACCATAACGGGACCCAAAGGATAATCCATGGATCCCTATAACATCTCACTTCCAAGAAAAGACATAATTACTAAATTACCCTTGACACATAAAATATAAGAATTAGAATCAGATCAGCAGCAGCGGAACCTAAAATAAACATAAAAAGGTAGTCCACTAACACAAGCTTTATCATGTAAATTCCTAAGTGCGTCCCACTTTAAAATCAAAACATATTACCCACAAGTTGCTCTCTCTAAATCTATCTTTCCTTGAGCTTCTTCTGAACTGCATCACTTGAAGTCTGGTCTAATTCTCCTGCCTTATTATGCTTGGGTGCATGCTGCTTGTTCATGTTCAAAATCAAGCTCAAAATAAACCAGATCCTAAAATGTGTCTTCATTAATTACAATATCATTCCCGAAAAGGGGAAAATTTTGTTTCCACAGACATGTCTCCCAAAAGTTAAAGGCTTTCTCCATGCATTGAATAATGGTGAAGAGAGGTCTTCAATTCATCTACTGCCTTCATTTCCTTTACTCAACCTATGCCGCCTCCACTTTACCTCAACATATGCCTCAGTTTGAAGTTCAAGAAGATGACATATAGAAAAAAGAATTGCAAGTTGACAACCAATTAGGCAAAGAATTACAAGTTTACTATAGATTCCGCAGGGACTAGCTGAACCCCTCACGCTAATGCCAAACAGTCTTCTAAGACTCAGGTAAAGGCACACAAAAACAATGCCAAGGTTATTTTATTTTTCAAAGAAGGCACACCAAAAAAAACAAATATAATAATAATAATAAACCATATTAGGTACAAATACTTTAGAATCAAACCTTCAAAAAAGAACACTTGAACATGTCTGTAAATATATGCGAACCTGCATACCAGTTAAAACAATGGGATAACTCCGTGGAAAAGTTGAAACATCATTAGAATCAAAGCCTGTTGCATAGAACTCCACACCAGCTGGTAGAACACACTGCATTCAAACAAAATTTACACTCAATTAAAGTGTTATGCCAAAGTGAATGATTTAAGTAGAAGAACAAATTAGGTTGTAACGTGATCAGATACAGTATTGACTAGTCTAAGTAAAAGGTTATCCTAACAAAGAGAATATTAAGGTGGAAATAAAAAAATACTTAAGTCGGCACATACGACATTGTCCACCACCATATTGTCTATGTGATTGAGAATATCAAAGCAAGGAACAAATTGAAGATTATCACAATCAATCAATCAAGTATTTTGAATACCAGGGTGCAATGTAACAACCAAGGAGAGCAAACTTTGTGGGTGAACAAGTTTGTTGTCAACAGCAGCATTCTTGTGAGAGAACGTGTGTAATTCGGAATTAGAGGTAACTGAGTTATTCCAGAAGGGGTAAAATCTGATTCCTAGGCTATAACCTTTCCCTTTAATGACTTTTCAAAAAAAAAAAAAAACTCAGTATAATGGGTTGTTCGTGCATGGACTGAAGGCCTCATAGTCTAGGATTTTTCATGTAAAAATAGACCCTTAAATATTTTTACCTATTGTTTTATCTATTTCATTGCATATATGATTGTGATTGAGACAGGTGGATATATTGAAACGAAGCAAAAATAATCAAGTCAAAACTAAAATCTAGAAATTAGTTAAAGACATTTTGAAAGTGCTACGGACCGAAAACCGAGGCTCTAATATAGAGTTGCGCAAGGTCCACTGATCTAGACTTAGAGGGGGTGAATAAGTCTTTTAAAACAATTTGATTATTTTAGCCATTTTTTAAATTAAACTTAATCAACAGAAAATCAAACTAGCATCATGTAAAAATCATGTAATTCACGGCTATTAAAGCAATAAACACCAGACTTTTCCATGGAAAACCCTCATATAAGAGAAAAACCATGGGACCTGGTCCAGGCAAACCAAATCCATTATTAAGTCCTGAACCCCTCGTTACCTCCAGACACAGATGATGCCAAATTTTGTCGCCGTCAATCCGCTCATCTACAGCATCCGCTCCTCACGAATCTGCTTATCTAGTGAATCGGTCTTAGCCACTAATCATTCGGTTTGTCAATCTGATTGTGGATGGAACTAAAGTATTGAATGGTCTTTGAGAGTATGCAGCAGTAGTATCAACACATGTATACACTCACCAAAGCTAGCTTGTGCATATGATGAATGCAAAAGAAAAGTGCACACAAAAACCTCACACAAGTATTTCCTCTCAAAAATATGTATTAGATGTGTCCCTCTTATGTGTGTAGGTCAGCCCAAAAGTTTATTCATAGGGAGCCAAGAGGTTGTGAGAAAATTAGTTTTTAGATGAGTTTGAAACCTATTAGGAAACTGTTGTTTTGAACACCTCAATGGATCGAATTGAACATCAATCGATCAACGCTACTCCAAAAGCCCTTGATCGATCCCTCGATCAATCGAACCCTTGTGCAGATTTATACCTAGAAAATTTTTATAAAGGTAGTTTTCAAATTTTAATTTTGCATTCTTGAAACATATTTAGGAATAAAAATAAGTTAGAAACTTCAAAATTAGGAAACTCTAGATATGAAATGCATATACCCTAAATGCTGAGTGCATCATTGTGTAAGATTACCTTTTTACCCTTGTCGATGAAGATTACCAAATTATCCTTTGATGTAGCATGTAGTTAATCTTCAACTCGAAGAAGTAACTGACACTTCACTAACTTTTGAAAATTTCTAAACTAAGCTAGAAATTAAGTAAAAGTACAAACTCAATGTTTTGATCTAGTAAATTTATCAACACAAGTCCTATTGACCTAACCCAATTAAAATTCACAAATACCTACTCACCGCTTTCTAGGTTTGAATTGAACTATGCATGTACTCTGACGTAATAAAGCCTAATATGATGATATGTTCCCTCATTCCACTTCAGTGGATTTCGAAGATTAATATTTTCCTCAAGGGTCAAGAATATCCTTGGTTCCTTCCAAAACAGCTCATTTTGCCAATGGATATAATAAAACTGAAGAGATATCTTGTGGAGGCCAAAATGGGCTCCATGATTATTCATTGTCCAATTCGTTGATTTCTTTCTTATATTGGAGCCACTTCTTCAATCTTTTGTAGTACAGATGGTGATGCTTAAGTCATTAAGAAATCTAATTGATTGCTGATGAACCAAACACAGGGCTAAAAAAGTGAACAGTAGGGCACTTCATTTTTGGTTGGGTAAGTCTATGGTCTTCCCTTCTACTTATCAAAAAAAAAAGTCTATGGTCTTCCCTTCCGAACACCCTATATAGGAGAACATCACCAGCTGTTGAGTGAATATCATATGGAAAGCTTAGACTTAAATGAATTTGCTAACTTTAGAATTATTACAAAAAATAAATAAAATTTCTCAGACTATCAGGGCGTGCGGGGAAAAAGAACGTATTAAGAAAGATGAAAGTAGCAAGGGTTTTGGACCAAATTACATTCTTATTGAGGGTTGGAAGTGTTTGAGGATGATTCATGATGGTATGTCTTCTTTTTTTTTGATAAATAAAGATTTTATAAAAAAAAACGCTCAAAAGGGGAGCGAATCCCAAGAAAAATACAAAAAGCCACAAAGGACTCAAGCCTTCAAAGAGGCCAAAAAATCAACAACCTCCTCTAACGATCTATGATCTCTCCATGAAACCCAACAAAAAAGAGTGGAAATAATCAAGAATTTAAGCACCGAAATCGACATCGCCTTTCCTTCAAAATATCTCCTATTCCTTTCAAGCCAAATACACCACCACACACAAAGCGGCGTAGCCCTCCATGCATCCCGACTGAGAGCCCCCACAGGGCAACCTCTCCATGCCTCAATCAACCCTCTCGCAGATCCAGGCATAACCCAATAAAACCCAAATAAGCTGAGCATCAAATCCCAACAATCTCTAGCCAAAGAGCAATGAATGAGAAGGTGATCCACTAATTCCTCATCACGAAGACACATATAACAACGATTGATCACCACCTGGCTTCTCTTTCGCAAATTATCCTGGGTTAAGATCCTACCCAGAACCGAAGTCCACACAAAGAAAGCCACCTTGAGAGGAGCCTTGGAACGCCAAACAGACTTCCAAGGAAAACGAACATCAGGATCAAAAGAGAGACACTTGAAGAAAGACCTCGCCTCAAAACGCCTTGAGAGTTTGCTACCCAAGACCAACAATCCGAATCCTCCTCCACAATTCTTTGGCGATACAACAACTCCAAGAAACTAATGGCCTCCTCGATCTCCCAATCCTGAAAGAAATGCCTGAATCGAACATCTCAAACCAGTCTCCCATTATCAAGATGATAACAGTCAACCACCATGGCCTGCCTATCCGAAGCAATCCTATAAAGCTGAGGAAAAGCGAGAGCAAGAGGAAAATCTCCACACCACACATCCTCCCAAAAGCGAATCCTCCTCCCATTTCTAAGTCGAAACCGAATGTGTTTGGAAAATTCATTCCAACCCTTCCGAATAAATTTCCAAACCCCCACCCCCCAAGGATCCTGCACTTCCAAAGAACTCCACCCTCCTCTCAACTCCCCAAAACGACACGCCACAACCCTCCTCCAAAGCCAATGTCTTGGGTAGTTAAAATCTTAAATAAGATCATAACCAGAAAATGTAGGACGGGTAGGGAAAACATATTTTCCTACCTATCTATTAAAATAAGAGAATATTTAAAGTTATACCCATTTTTGCAACAGTAAACTTATGAGTCGTACTATCAAAGTTCATAAAATATTGATTGAGCAACTACTAAAACTGGGTACAACAATATCTAAAAATCAATTCAGACTCATACTGGAGAAATCAATAATGTGTTAAGATAAATGTTCTTTGAGACGACTAAGAATCAAATTAGATATGCAAAAATTCGTGATACAATTAAAGTGGAACCCACGGTATATAAATGAGAGAAAATCAACCAAAACTATATATGAAATGCAGCAAAGACTAATAACTGCATTCGTAAGGAAAAGCAATGTGCCCACATTGAGGTAATATTATGAAAAGGGAAAGATCAAAATTAAAGGGTTGAGATGATAAGGAATGATATAATAGTGTGTTGCTTAACTAATGCATGGCCTTAGAACATAATGATGAAACAAAAAACAAGTAGCTGACCCCAAATAGTTGAGATAATGCTTTGTTGAGACTTGAGAGTTGCTTTTGCAATCGAGAAAAGGTAGAACAACAGAATTTTCAAAAACAAGAAAGAAGCATCCAAGGATATGGTTTCAAATACAACGACAACAAGCCTTTTTCCCAACTACTTGGGGTCAGCTATGGTTCAAATATCATACATATAATTTATCCTGTACTTTTGCCTATCAATTCAATGATGTTGTGTATCCGATTTTTGTGGAAATCAGGGCTCTTTCTGCAATTTGTAACTATCATAAAATTTTCATGCTTTTGTTGTTTTTATAAAGTTTCTCTGATATTATAGAGTTCCTAACTGACAATTCCAAGACAGTTGAAACCAAAGCACTAATATCCAGTATCAGTGGAGTTCTAATAAGCAATCAACTATGATCTCTTCACAATGAATTAAACAAAATTCTGATTCCAAAAGAATACAGAAACCTTAAATGAACAGACTCTTAATGCAGGAAGCTATAGAGGTAGTGAAGGATAGAGAAAATGGTTGGAAAAGAGTGTACTAGTTCAAGGAGAGAAGGCAAATACATGACCCCTGTCCCATGTAACCCTCTATTCCCCGTCCAGGCTTGAGTCTCCAAACAGAACCCAGACACGATGAAGTACTCAAAGATCCAGGAGATTGATGATCCCCTCACGCTGCTCCAATAATACAGATAGACTCGGTTGCTTGATAAATAAAGTTCTTAGATTTGAATCTCTCTCTAACCTATTATCTACCCAAAAAAAAAAAAGATTTTATTTCCTTCTCTCGTCCTTGATTTTCATTTCTAGCTGCACTCAAATGCTTCTGGAAATATAAAGTTTCTTTGGGACATTCAGGATTCAATTTACATTTGTCTCCAAATTGAATAGCGCACTAGGGTAAGATAACGATATGTGAAAGGGAAGACCTAATTCAACATGGTTTGAGATAATGATAAATGATATGGTAGTATGCAGTTTAACTAAACCTATGACCATTTGACAAGCATAGTGGTGAAATGGGAATCAGGTAAGTGATCCCAAAAAGTTAGTACTCGTTGTTGAAACCTACTTGGCAATCAAGAAACATTACAATAATAGGAATTTTCAGCAACAAAAAGTGAACATCAAGTCATCAAGGGTGTGATATCAAACTCGCATATATTATATCTTTCTAGTGCTCTGATTTTTGTGGGAATCGGGACTCTTTCCATAATTTGTAACTCTCATATGTGCTCCATGATTTTTTCACTCTATGCATATAATTTCTTTTGCAATTTAGAGTCCAAAGAACAATGTCAAGAAAACTGAAACCAAAATACAACTTTCCAATATCATCAGAGTTCCAATAAGCAATTCACCTATAACCACACCACATAAAATGACAATTCACTTAACAAAACTCAATTGACAACAACAACAACAACAATTGATTTCTTACAGTGGGAAGCTGTGGAGGCGGCGGAGGGTAGAGAGAGTGATTGGAAGAAGGGTACTGATCGAGGAGAGAAGGCAAGTACAAGATCCCTGTCCCATGGAATCCTTTGTTCCCCTCTAGGGTTCGAATCTCCGGACCCAACCCACAAACAACGAAGTACTCAAAGATCCCGGCCATAGACGAACCTGTCTCTCGCTCTCTCTCTCTGTGACTACTTTTACCAGTTATACGTTATGGGCAATGCTAGTTTGATATACAAAGTTTCTTCCCATATGTAAATCTGTATCTAACCTACCAAATCTCTCTCTCTTTGTCTCTCGTATTTGCTTTCTGCATCTGACAAAATGCAATAGGGTTTGAGAAATTGAAAGGATCTGGAATTGGATTTCACGTCTGTTTACGATTTCAAATGGTCACTGTTTGGATCAAAACTATGAGACTCCGAATAATTGACTCGTTAGGTACAGACCAACCTAGCTGTTCGTTGTCTCTCTATCTCTCTGCCGTGAAAAGAGTTTTCTCATCTGAGAAATCGCTCTTTTGCCTGAGGGCCTGCCTGGGGTTATCATGGACAAGACATGAGTCCTAATTGTTCCCCCTTCTTTCTTTTGTTTTTTTTATTTTTTTAAAATCACGACAAATCTCAACCATCCAATACAGGTAGAAAAGAAAAAAATAATAATAAATACAGCTACAAGGTTCCAAACTTACAATATAAGAAGCAAAGGTACCATAACGGCAGGACACCATACCAAAAAAATATAGGACAAGGCACTATACGTTCATAAGACCATTTTCAATGTTAAAAGCTATTTTTGTATATTAAATTTATATTTTGACAAGTACTGCAGTGTTAAAATGTTACATTTTAATAATTCTGTTTTAATAATGCATTTCATGCAAAATGCTATTTTTTAACACAACCACCACTCATTTCCAAGTACCATTCACAATTACCATTCTTTTCAACTAAAAATTTTGTTTTTTTTTTTTAGTGTTTATATTTTATTTTGCTTGTTAAAAATAAATAAATAAATAAATTTGAATCATCAAATCCATGTTTGGCATTTCAATACTACAATTCTGAATGTGTGTGGGTGACCTGAATAGATAAAAATTGAAACCAATATATGCTAACATAAATATAAAATGAAGTTCTTTCTCCGACAAGACGAAGTAGCAGAACATACATCATAGCCCTATATCTGGATTAAGCACTGAAATCTCAACAGAAGTTGCTCTGTTACTTAAGATTGGGGGTTATTCACGAGCTACACAACTTCAAAGTTCAAACAACTCTTCAATGATCTGGGCAGATCAATCCTAACAATACTAATCTTAGAAACCAGAGATGTATAAGCTTCATGAGGTTGCACTGTCTTTATCATCATCTCCATCACCTTCAGAGTCCTTTGATTGGTCAGTGTTGTCTGACTTCTCAGATGTCAAATGACGTCCAGTCATAGGATCTATTGGATGGGTGTCTCGTGGCCTTCCTTTGCATCCTATTACCAGCATCGATGGCAGGGGTAGCAACCTTGCTCTGAAAAGTAGGAATTGGACAGGGTCCGAAGGCTGGGCACCAACTGATAACCCATATCTGCATAAAGAGGGAAAACATCCAGCGGAATTAAAAAGGAGAATAGGGGAAAACAATTTTTTGAGTAATTAGAGTTTTGCTTAAAATTAAATACAACTGAGATCTAGGTATCAGTCTCCATTGGTGTAGTGAATGAATTTGTTACAAAGTAGAAGTACAAAAACGGTGGAACATTTTCAAGAGCTAGGTTTATTCTCTAAGAGTGATAAGTTGATTATGCGATGCCTTGTGCATGTTTCACAACATAGCGGGGAATTTAATATGATACCCAAACATATATTTATAATAATAACAATAATAAAAACAAAATTGACAACATAGGATGCTTATATAGTTTATGTATGATTTTTAGACATCCAAGTAATATTAGGCTGAACTTCTGGACCACATAATTTCCAGTATGAGAAGTAAACTTGAGAGAGATGCAAGAAATGGAAACAAGACATGAGTCCATCCATTTTTACTCTATAGAATCTATGCCAACAAAATTTAGCGTGTTTCCTATCAGCTCCATCATAACTGGCAGACTGAACCAATCCATGAACACTACACGTATGTTTCCCTCAAAACACTTATCCTCTTTGCAGAATGGGTTTCTTAGTCATTGTTATGTACCATTTCCACAAAACCCTTTATAAAAAATGCACGATAGTGTAGATGAAGCATAAATTGAGAAATAAAGCTTCCATTTCTAGACAATTATCCAAGCAAATCTTAGAATTAAGGTGCACCTTGAAGGGCCAAACAGCCTTAAGGAGAAAAATAATATACGGAGTAACAAATTTAAGAAAATAAAAGCTAAGACTTCATACTTCAGAAACCATGAAAAAGAAAATCATACATCATTGAGAATTCTAAGAAGCAGAAGGAACTTGTGAAATGATTGCAATTTCGAGAAAGATAAAGATTTCAAAAACAGGCTGCTTATGGAGACAACAAATGATTCAGCAGTGGTGGCAGACCTCACACTTGAAAATCCATATAATTACTTGAATTGAGCATTAGATTAAACAACTACTAAATGAATCAATGTTGGAGTTAATGGATCCTTGGCTAGTCATTCAAGAATTGGTCATTAATGAGGGGCTTTGAAGAGCGAAAAACTCAGTATGGTTGGCAAGTTAAGTGGTTATGAGGTTATTCTTACTTCAGCCCATGAAAAATATTACATGAACTTCTATTGAATAACTCACGAGCTATGACATATATAGGAAGCTTGTTTTTAGATAGAAGTCCATTTAGTACCTTAATTTTAGTAGGATTAAATATAATGCCAGTGATCAAATGGGTAAAGTTTATAAGGCAAATAACTTTCAAAAGTAAAATTTTCTAATACAATTTCAACACAATTCATTCTATCACTAATTATACAACAGTTCATATCAATTTGACGAATAGACAGCTAGAAACCTAACATTTGCTATGATGAGAGAAGTAACTAAACTTCATGCTAATAAAAAACTCTTTACTTCAATGGTTTGACCCAACTTATCTGGGTTGGTTTACTACTTGCTATGGTACTTAAAAAATTAAATTAAATTAAAACCAATACTGAAATTAATTCAAGTACAACTCTGAAACAAATATGCTAGGTATGAAGGATTGTAAAATTTATGGTCTTTTTCTGGTAACCATTTATGTAATAATAAACAAGTTATACTCTGCAGATCAATTACCAACAATTTGATGATAAAAAATAACAGGAGTATCATTATTAGAGATATAAATATATCAAACCTAGATCTAATAGTACCATCGGAAACAAAATGGAATCTAATTATAGTTACAGAACACTTCATTAGTAGTTCACTTTTTAAGTGTGTACAAAAATCTCAAAGATTCATCAAAATAAATAACATCTAAATTCGAAACACATAATGACTAACAAGTGTGAGCAAACCCCAGATTGAAGAACAAGTTGGGTAATGAAATTTTCGAGAAAAACAAAGAGACGAATGTAATACCCCGATATTTCAAAGGATTTATTAAATGGAATTAATTACTATTATTTTATTTTTAAAGGATTTGTTTGGATTTATTTATTATTGGCGTAGATAAATTATCTTATTTTAATTAAATTATATTTCGTGATTATATATTTTGATTGTTGGCGTGTTGATTTTCTTGATATGGTGTGAATTAGTTGTAACTTCATGTTTGTTAATGTGTTTCGTGTAATTAGTTTTCAATACTTTAAGTGGTTGAGTAATTATTTTATTTATTTAAATTAATTGGAATGGGCTTAGGGGAAATTGGACCAAAGGATGTGGTATTGGGCTTGGATGAAGCCTTGTTGGGTAATTAATTAGAGACCCATGGTTATGAGGTTATTTAAAGGATGTTGTTGTGCATAAATATAATTATTATTATTATTATTTGAGGTTAATTAATTAATTATATAAATATAATTAATTAATTATTATTATGGAAGGATATATAATTATATATTATATATATTTATGGATAAATGTGCATATGATTTAATTATTTAAAGAAGGAAGTATACATATATATTAAATATAATATATGTGTATTTGTATATATGTATGTATATATATATATATATATATATATATATATATATATATATAACATAATATATGTGTATATATATTTATATTATTAAAGGATGATTATTATTTATTCAATAGTCATACTAGTAATAGGATTAGGGTTATGTGTATAAATATACACATAATGTTTTATTGTGAAAAGTTTTCACATTAGAAAAATAAGAGAGAGTCAGAGAGAGAAGAAAAAGGGCTAACGAAAAGGGGGCCGGATCAAAAAAATAGGAGATCAGATTTGGAAAAGAAAGGCAAGTTCTTCTTTACTTCTCCTCTTAAAATTCATAAACCTATCACCTCGAGTATTAAAATTATATGTTTATTGTGTTAATTAAAAATAAATTATTAATCGGATTAGAAGAACATGTTTATTCTTTACAAAATTTTAGATTTAAACATGCGAATAGATGTATGAATAGTTTTGATAATTTTAAATCTTGTTTGTGAGGTTGGTTAATTAAATTTTATTTTTTAAAAATTTTCATAGATTGCTTTAACCTTGTGAAGCATGATTAATTAAATTAAATAGGTCTAAATTTAGATATATATGTTCAAGTGGGCCCAAAATAATTAAATTAAGCTTTTGGGATTTTTCTAAAATTTTCTAGGATTTTATGAAGATTTTTTGGAATTATTTTATGTTTTTTAGAATTTATTTTATATAATTTGTATATATATATTGTACATATATATGCACTGGAGGGTTAAAGAAATCGGCGCAATAAATAAGGCACTTTGATTCGGTGAGTCGCGGAGCGCAGCACCTCGGTGCGCCTCAAATCAGGACCTTAGGATGGTCCTGATGATTTCCGGATTATCCAGTGTGGGTGTATACATGGGTAGAAGGTGTACACACTGATCTAGGCCCTTGGATGGATTTGGTCAACAAAGAATAGATCCGATGCATCGCGGCGCATGGAGTTCAGTGTGTGTGTGGATCTGGACCGTTGACTTAGGCCAGGCAACATAAAATTAATCCAGTGTGACGCAGCTTACCCAAGTCCGGATTTCTAACCAACCAGAAGCAGTCACGTCATCCAGAATGAAGAACAGGCGTGTGGTGGAGCGTGTACCGCACGTGGGGGTGCGTGAAGATACCTGCCAGCTTGTGGTGGCGCGTGCAGTGTGTTTGGGCGCGTGTGGGGGCATGTGGTGGCGCGTGTGGAGGCGTGCTGGGTCCCGGAATGTTCTTGTGGGGTCTAGCAAGGTCTTTGAATTGATTTTAAGGTTGTTAGTGTTGAAATTCACCTTTAGAAGGGGAGTTCGAGGTGTTCTAAGAGCCATACAGTGTTACTAAAATATTTAGTAGCCTTTAATTTGTGTAAGTATAACAAATTAATGATTTATTACAGAAGGAAGTATATATATATATACACATATATTTAATTATATATGAGTATATATGGTTATTTAATTTCTTATTAGTATGGTAGGAAGTAGTG